GGCTGCATGAGATGTGTTGTTATAGGCAAACTCTAGGGTCAGTAACTGTAGATCCTAATGGCGGGTGTCGTCTTTGCAAGTTGTATGCAGTAATTGTTTAACCATTTGATTGAGTCGCTCTGTTATTGTCAGACTAAGGGTGGTAGGATGAAGATATCGCAAGTTTTGTCTCCAACAAATCCATGAGTTCTTTCCAGAACTTACTAGTAAATTTTAGGTCCCCGTCTGTGAGAGTACTACAGCTTTGCTAAGCTTTACGTGCTTGATATTGCTTTATTATGCATTATCTAGCTAGGCTTCATTTTATTTTGCTTGCTTTTGCTAGATTTCCTAGGTTCGTTGCTTTTACTATATTATTATAGTTACAGGCCGAACTAGGTTCAGTGCACCAAATTCTAAGCTTTTCGGTTGCCAATGAATTGCCTTCTACCGAATTCGGGAAGGACCCGTTCGGGACGCTTCGCAGCCCACGGAACCTTCTAGTAACACCCGGGTTACTGCCTTTGTGTCGAGCCTATATATAGCATCGTCTTATACCCAGATGAATCATTCAAGATTTCTCTTTCCTGAACCAGATCCTCACACTTGGTAATCAGAGTGAGTTTACACGTGAGGTCTTCAACAGCTTGAAACCGGCCCTTAAAAACCGCGGGGGTGACGACAAAACGCCGATACGGGTATGTAAAACTAGTTCCGCACATTTTTTCTAAGTTCCCCTCGATCCGCTTTCGAACATCCCTCAGGATTATTGGCACAAAAAAATAAAAAAATAAAATAAAAAACAAACAACTGGAATTTGGAGCGTCGTATCGAGTTTCTCCTCAACGGCCGAGATCGGGCACGAGTTTGACAGAATTTGCGCTCGTCGATTCTACATTCGATTCGACTCGCAGTAAGACGACCAGCACCTTGTATTCATTTATTTTTGTCGCACACTTCAAGTAAATCGCCAAATGGAGGAGAATAGAGATTCTTTTATAGGAAAAATCGCGGAGTTACAAGCCGAACATGAGCATATACGTGCGGCGCTCCCACGATTTGAAAAACTCCTTGCGAACCAATCGGTAGCCGCAGCAGCAGCAGAAGCGACGACGGCGACACCGACAAATGTGTCTACAATAACGACAGCAACTATAGTTAATCTTGAAGCAGCGAAGCCGAGACAACCAGACACGTTCGATCATACCGTATAGTGAAAGGGAGCGACGTCCGTCGATTTGTAGCTGAACTCAAAATTTACTTCGAAGGCGTTGGATGCACGACCCCTACCCAAGACGCAATGCGCATACGGCTCGCAGCAACACTGTCGGTGGCGAGGCAGCTTATTGAAGCTACGGCGCTTTACGAGGCCCAGCTCTAGAGTGGATTAGCAACAAATTTATCCAAGGCGAAGGGACGTCGGCGCAGTTTCGGGCAGCACTGATCGAACAGTTCGACACGTTGAACAGTAGCTACTACGGAACACGACGCAACCAGCCAAACAGTGGCTTGGGGCGATCGGCACCACCCACGACTGCCGACCCGATGGAGAACGACAAGGACGATGCGACGCAGTGGCTAGCAAAAAATGCGACGTGCGAATTTTGCGGCGCTACTGAACATCGTATCTTGGCGTGTTGGAAGAAAAAGATAGCACGTGCGGACCTGAAGGACAGGAAAAGTGCGGCACTCCCGAAACAGAAAACTATCAGCGTGGCAACTTAGGAGAGTGCGAAAAAAGGATAATATAATGGCGCAAAATTAAAACGTCACGACCAGCCGGCACCAGGGGAAATCGCCGAGACAAATGGAGACTCCGCGAAACAAGACCCTGCACCGACTGGGAAACTCTAGCCGCATACCCCGACAAGTAAGAATATTACTTCACATTCAAGCCTTTATTAAGGGAGAGTCAAGAATTAAACCGGTACCGGGTAATATAGGACCATATTCCGGAGTTTGGTTACGGGTCGAATGTTCCGAGGAATTATATTCTCTCCCAGTAGCACAGTGTTAAGGCTCCCCGCCGTTCCCCACAAGTAAAGCCTATACAGCTGCAAAGGCTTAGGGGAAGGTTCCAGGCCCAAGAGAAGCTGAATCAGCCTCGGTTAAATCCTTCTAACCCTGCTTAGTTGAAAACTGATATTGAGCTAGCAGCTTCAAGCGCAGGACTTAGCGATGATACATTCAATCTACCCTATGATCCTGTAAGCAACACCATCTACAGCTACTCGGAGCAGCACAAACAACTAGTACTCGAGGTGATCTGCAACGGGCGACGCCTTCAGGCCCTGGTGGACAATGGTGCGTCACACTCGGTGTGCGACCGTGGGACGTTGGATAAAATTGGAGAGTCATCGGAGGAGACCCACTCTAAAAAAACGATGGTGGACAATACGAAGCTTCCCATCCACGACGAGTCAACACTGCAGCTGCAGATAGGGGCGTTGAGGTGGAAGCCGACGCTGACGATCACGGACATCAATAGATTAGATTTCATCTTTGGGCGTGATTTTATGAAGCAGTTCAACCCCGAGATCTACTAGGTCAATCGTAAGACGTGCATCTATAAGAATGGGAAACGTGTGGAGCTGAGAAGCTCGGCAGATACAGGGGATGTTTGTGAAACGACACTGACACGGTTCGAACGAACGGTGGACGAGAGTAACATGGTTACATAGTAGAGTAACATGGGTTCCTACGGCCTCTTTGAGTCTTTTTGTGGTGAGGAGGGCATCGCCTAGCCGTTCACGCTTCCGGCCCCTCCGTAGCAGAATGGGGTTGCTGAGCGCCGCATTGGCTTGATCATGGAGGTTGCTCGCACCTCCATGATCCATGCGGCTGCTCCCCATTTTTTGTGGCCGTTTGCGGTCCGGTACGCCGTGCATCAGCTCAACCTCTGGCCCCGTGTCTCTGTGCCAAAGACCTTGCCCGCACTGCGCTGGATGGGGGAGGTTAGCGATGCGTCGACATTTCGGGTCTGGGGTTCGCATGCCCTTATCGCGATACCACCACAGACAAGCTCTTTTCTCGCACCATTTGATGTGTCTTCCTTGGCTTTCGCACCGACGCGCCTGGCTGCCAGTTTTACCATCCAGCCTCGCATGCTCACCAAGAGGAGGTTGAGGAAGGTCAGGGAGGACTTGTTGTGAACAAATCCGATGAAAGGCGGAATTACAAACAGCAGCCAAAATAATAACCTTGGGCAACAACCCGAGACCCGCGGCACCAGACCTAAACCCAATGCGCAACAACAGTTTCGTTCAACCACCACAGTTGTAACGTTATACGAGTAGTGAACTACAGGTATTGGTGAAACTACGTTTGCCTGTTGTTATCCTTGTGTTGCCCAAAAAAATAATCTTGACCGCTGACCGAAATCTGAAATGTCAAGAACCAAGCCACCCCTAGCTCTTGACAGAAGCACTGTGCATCGCAGTAAGGGCGGGCGCAAACTTGGCGAGCCCAACTGTACAAAGATGTCACCGCGAGCACACAATGACCCCAGTTCTATACAAGATTCTGTACTCGTACAGTATTATGTCACCCCAACTGCGAGAACGAAAATGTCACTCTCATTCAACGACTCTTCACAACACGCCCTCCATCTCGGCGAAACGCGCATGCGCTTCGCAGATGTGCCGCCGGGTCAAGCCACGTATTGCAGCTCCCCAATACAAATGATCTAGCGCGATTCGCTAACATGCTCACTTTCTCTTTATGAACCTTTTTGTGGGTTCCATAGCAACCCTAAATATTTGATGTCACAGTTTGGGGATATCATTTTTTTACCACTTATTGGAGCACCCATTTGAATAAAGTTCTGACCGTGTTCCAAAATGCCTAAAATTTTGGATAAAAAACACTCTTCAATGAGATATTTCTAATGAGAAACCAAATCGCAAATGCGTATCATGCTGACACCATGTATTTATTCAGAGAACATTCCATCAAATGTAGTCAGTTTTCCCAACTTTGTTTGCAATCATCATTGTTGTGAACTCTTGCTTGTGAAACCCTTGCCAAATCTTGTTGTGAATGCGCAATTAGAGTAAACACACACAAACGATGCGATCGCTCTACCACCCGTGCCTACCCTTTAGTCTAGCTCTCATCATTGTAGAGTGACTCTGCGCAATACCAAAGTATTATCTAGTGATAATAATGTTGATGATATTCAAGCTACTATCAAACTGTAATGATGCTCGTGTTGTGTAGGCTGTAGTGGGGTAGCCCATAAAGGGTACAACCCAAATCATGGTTAGTACTTGTACAACATTTCTGTTCAATGCACCATTCACTGCTCGTTAGTTTCTGACATGGTTTCAGAGCAGTAGGTCCGTAGGACCATTTTTTTTTTATTATTTATTTTTTGTTGTCCGGGCCCACCATTAGCTAGTGACCGACTGCGGTTACCGCGCTACCCCACGCCCTGCCTTGAGTTGCGCCGCCCGCGCACGCCCTACCGTGCCCTGCCTTGCGTCACACTGCCCGTGCATGCTCTGCCCTGCGTCGCGCTGCCCCACGCGCGCACTGCCCTGCGTTGCGCAGCCCTGCGCACGCCATGCCATGCCCTGCGTCACGCCGCCCCGTACAGCCCGCACGCCGCCCGTCTGCAGCCTGCGAGCCGGCCTGCTGGCCGCGCGCTGCCCTTCGCAGCCCGCGCGCTACCCTTGCAGCCTGCGCGCTGCGCTTGCAGCCCTGCGCACTGCCCTGCTGGCCGCGCGTCGCCCCTACCTGCCCACGCGCCGCCCCTGCCTACCCACGCGCAGCCCGTTGCAGCCCGCGCGCCGCCCTGCTGGCCACGCGCCGCCCCTGCCTGCCCGCGCGCCGCCCCTGCCTGCCTGCGCGCTGCCCTTTGCAGCCCGCGCGCCGCCCTGCTGGCCGCGCGCCGCTCCTGCCTGCCCGCACGCCGCCCTCTGCAGCCCGCTCCCCGCCCTGCTGGCCGCGCGCCGACCCTGCCTGCCCGTGCGCCGCCTTTCATGCCTGCGCGCATCCCTACCCTGCCCCGCTCTGCAGCTATGGCTACTCTCAAGAACCCGCCCCCGATATACATCACACTCTACTTCATAGTCACCCGCTTCCTTGACTCTCTTCGCGCAGTCAGGGACCACTTTCTCGCCCTTGACCCCACAGACCTCACTGACGTCGATCTCGAGAAGCACCTCCTTGCAGCTGAGACCAGCATAGTCGCTATAGGTGCTGCTCGTGGCAGTCCTCGCACTCCCTTCTTTGAGGGGTGTTCCCCCTCCCCCCTTGCCCCCTCCTACGCTTCTGCTGCTGCTGTTGGCTTCCTTGGTGCTAAGGAGGTCGGGGCTATTTCTGCTCCTAGTGGGAAGCGCCGCAGCGGCAAGGGCAAGGGAGGCAAGAGTGGTGGAGGTGGCAGCGGGGGGGATGGTGGTGGTAGAGGCGGTAGAAGCGGTGGAGGTGGCGGCGGTGGCGGTGGGAGTGGAGGCAGGAGTGGAGGCGTCAGTGGCGGCAGTAGCGGTAGCGGTGGGGATGGTGGTGGCAGAGGTGGTGGCAATGGGAGCGGTGGCGGTGGAGGCAGCAGCGGCGGTGGTGGTGGCAGTGGGAGCGATGGTGGCGGCAGTGGTGGCGGTCGGGGTGGAGCCGTTCAAAGGGGAGGTTCTGGTGGTGGCCAGAGGCAGCAAGAGCAACGTCCGCGCGAGACCCCTACGCCTTAGAAGCTTCGTGAGTGGTTTGCTCAGCGTGGGGCGTCTGGGGGTAGTGTTCGCTGCCCGTATGTCATTCGCACAGGTGACCGCGCTGGTCAGACATGCGGGAAGTTTCACACCCAGTACCGCTACTTCTCCCGCCTTAACGACGCTTGGCGCACTGAGTTTGGTGACGAGGCTGAGATGCCCCGCTGAGCAGACCTGCTTAGGAGGGATGTGGATATCCTTGCTCTCGACAATGATGCTATCCTTGCTGCCATGTATGCATTGACTGTTAGTGCTGAGGGTGACTGTTACCTGTGTGTGCCGCCCGACCCAGGTATAGAGGCTGCTGCTCTAGGTGCTAGTGAGTCTGCTCTCTCTGGTACTGCGCCTGCTAAGGCCTTGCACACCTTCACGCTTAGGTGCTCAGGTGCTTCCCCCTGCTTCTTTCATGACAGTACCGCACTCACACCACTCCCTGCACCTGTTGCAGTCTCTCTGGCTGACCCCTCTGGGGGCCCAGTTCTTGCACGTTCCACCACTGTTCTCCCGTGTCCGGCGGTTCCGTCTGGCTCACTGTCAGGTCTTCACCTCCCCTCGTTCTTGACAAACTTGATAAGCAACGCAGTCCTCCAGGATGCATTGGTTGATACCTTTACCCCTGGAGGGCAGCGTGTGGCGATCTGTACGTGCTCCCAAACTAGCCGTCACCTGGCCACGTTCACCCGTCGGCCAGGGTCGAGTCTGTACAGACTGACTACTAAGCCTCCCAGGTAGGTGCTTCTGGTCAGGTGTCCGCGTTAGGTCAGGTAGCACCCCCCCTGTTCGTGTCACCTCCTGTCGCGCCAGACTCTCCTTTGGCACCACCGCCTTGGTCAACCCTACCTGCCACGCCTCCGAGGCATGCACTCCCGACTCCTTGTGTCTGGTCTTCCCAGGTCTCTCCCTCCCCTCCCTGCCTCGCCTGCGCCGCCCTGCCTTCCTTGCGTCGAGGGGCAGCAGCGCGCCGCTCCTCACTCCTCCTCGTTTCCCCTGACAAAGGCTCCCCTGCAGACTCTCCACATGGACGTGTGGGGCCCCGCCCGCGTCCGTGGACTGGACCGCGAGCGGTACTTTCTACTGGTTGTTGACGACTACACACGTTACACCACGGTCTTCCCTGATGTCCTCATCCCTTGGATCCGCGCTGTCCGTCTCCAGCTCCGCGAGCGGTTCCACACGGACCATGTCTTGCGTCTGCACTCTGACAGAGGTGGTGAGTTCTCCTCCGACCTCTTGTGGAACTTCTGTCGTGGGGAGGGCATCCTCCAGTCGTTCACGCTTCCGGCCTCCCTGCAGCAGAATGGGGTTGCTGAGCGCCGCATTGGCTTAGTCATGGAGGTCGCTCGTACCTCCATGATCCATGCGGTTGCTCCCCATTTTCTGTGGCCGTTTGCGGTCCGGTACGCTGCGCATCAGCTCAACCTCTGGCCCCGTGTCTCCATGCCGGAGACCTCGCCCACACTGCGTTGGATGGGGGAGGTTGGCGATGCGTCGGTGTTCCGGGTCTGAGGCGGTCGTGCCTTTGTCCGCGATACCTCCGCGGACAAGCTCTCCTCCCGCACCATTCCCTGTGTCTTCCTTGCACATTCCTCGGGCAGGTCAACAACGACGAAGCAATGTTCGGAAGTTAGGCAATTGGCCCACTCGCTGATTTTGTCTTGTCTACTTTAGAAGATTCCGGGTGTGACCCACTGGCCAGGCGGGGTCCTTTTGTTTGTTTTCCTCGTTGAGAACGCCCCGTACTTTTTGAAGGTTTCAGGTGCAGCGCTTCTCCACTCAGACCTTGTGTCAGCTGATGTGTGCCACAATTTACGATTTTATGGTTCAACACCTCTGCCATTTCGTTGTTGGCGGTGTGTCTATAAAAGATTTCGCGCATTCAACTGCCAACCCCCGGAATTGGACCGCAAATGAACCCCCCTCCATGCTGCGGGTTGTTCGTTGCTTGTTTGCTGCATCGACCCACCAACTCTCGTCAGCAGTTCATCATGAGGTGTCGGTCAGGGCTGGCAGAACGGGCAGTTTTCGACTGTAAATACACATTCTTCTTCCCCTTCCGCTATCTATTTCCTCTCCCCCCATTGTCACGCCCTTCGTTTTCTTCTTTTCCTTGTGTTTTTTGTCGTCAGAGTATGAGGCAGTCGAACTTACATGTGCTGCAAAGGAAAAAAAAAAAAAAGGTTGCTTGAGAATCCGTTAAAAAAATGTCACTAATACATTAGGTTACCCAATGTAAGGAATACGATAAATTAGTCAAACACCATATGCTGTTTGGGAAAGTAGCATGCAACACAACGGACTATAGCAGTAGAAAACAATAGCTTGTAACTTACGAGACCACCACGGCATTGATTGATTTTCATTGGTGTTGCCGGAACACTTGAAGGAGCAGTTGTCGCTGAGCGCTTGTTGTTGTTGTTGTTGTTGTTGTTGTTGTTGTTGTTGTTGTTGTTGTTGTTGTTGTTGTTGTTGTTGTTGTTGTTGTTGTTGTTGTTGCACATTTTTTGCTGCGGGGTGTACGGGCAGGTCAGGTCGTGGACGATCCCCTTGCCGTCCACGAAGTCGGTGAACTGCTTCCCGAGGAACTCCCCTCCTCGGTCAGAGCGCAGCTGCAACACCCCTCTGACGCGCCTGGCTGGCAGTTTTACCACCCCACCTCGCGCAGTGTTCTGTCATCTCAGGACGTCACGTTTGACGAGTCGGTTCCCTTTTACCGTCTCTTCCCCTACCGCACTGCCCCTCTCCCCCCCCCCCCCCCCCCACCACTCTTCCTCGCTCCAGGTCCCCCTCCGGTAGACCCCCTCCCCCCTCAAGGTCCTGCTCCTTCAGGTGTCTCTCAGGTAGACCCACTCCCCCCGGCTGAGAATGTAGAGGTCACTAGTGACTATGGTGCTGTTGGGGGTGGTGCTGCTCGGGGTGCTGCGTCTGGGGGTGCTGAGTCTGCGGGTGCGGGGCCTGGGGGTGCTGAGCCTGCGCGTGCGGAGCCTGGGGGTGCGGAGCCTAGGGGTGCTGAGCCTGAGCGTGCGGAGCCTGGGGGTGCTGAGCCTGAGCATGCAGAGCCTGGGGATGCTGAGCCTGCGGGTGCGGAGCCTAGGGGTGCTGAGTCTGGGGGTGCTGAGCCTAGGGGTACTGCGTCTGCTGGAGGTCCTACGGGTGCCTCGCCGCGCCTGTCTCCCCAGGGGAAGCCTCTCTCACCACAGTAGCTGCGCGAGTGGTTTACTTGTTAGAAGGAAATGCTGCCATGAGCAACAAATTGCCGGCGCTGGGATTCGAACTCGTGAGCTTCGAATCTGTTCTGAAAGTGTCTCAGGACAGATTCAGGACAGTTTCTGCTAAGGGGCTGGTTATGATGCACTTGAGTTTCGAACTGGAGACCTTTCGATTCAAGTGTCCCGAAAGTGTCTTGGCAGGACAGATTGGGGACAGTTTGGGGACAGATTGGGGACACTTTGGCGAAATCGATCTCGGGTCGCGTTCGGTTTGAAACTCGGCAGCGAAGTGTCGAAGTCAACGGAATTCGCACGGGAGTTACAGTCGGTGGTCGACGTCTTGTCGCGGAAATTCTCGTCAACGGAATTCCAGTCAATGGAATTCGCTCGGCGAAATTCAAGGCTCGGAATTTCGCGTCGACGAAATTCAGCGCGCGACCCGGGTCGACACTTTCTTGTGTGCTTTGTTTTTGTATTGCGTCCTAGTATAAAACCAGAGAGCACAAACCAGAAATCTTCTAAGTCATTATCATTGTTATGTTTATGAGTATCTCTGGATATAGTGGACTGTTTCCTGCAATCTTTGGTGCATTGGAATCGTGCTTCCAAGCTCTATCAAGCTGCTATAGTAGTAAATTCTACATTACTCAGCGCACCCGCCTTCGGAGTAGCGCTGCTGGAGCTGGAGACCTTGCTGCTGGCACTGCTGCTGGAGACGCTGGAGTTGGAGATACCGGAGGAGCTGGAGAAGCTGGTCCTGGAGGTGCTCATACTGGAGGTACTGGAGCTGCCGGAGCTGGTGGTGCTGCAGGTGCTATCTCACCACAGGAGCTGCGCGAGTGGTTTGCTAGCCGCACACGCCTTCGGAGTGACGCTGCTGGAGCTGGAGGCACTGCTGCTAGATGGAGCTGGAGGTACCGGAGGAGCTGGAGATGTTGATCCTGGAGGTGCTCGTACTAGAGGTACTGGAGCTGCAGGGCTGGTGGTGCTGCTGCTGGAGTTGGAGGTGCTGGCGCTGCTGGTCCAAGAGGTGCTCGTCCTGGAGGTACTGGAGCTGCCGGAGCTGGTGGTGCTTCAGGCACTGGAGCTGGAGGCCCTGGAGCTGGAGGCGCTAGAGCTGGAGGCACTGGAGCTGGAGGTGCTGGAGCTGGAGGCACTGGAGCTGGAGGCACTGGAGCTGGAGACACTAGTGCTGGAGGTGCTGGAGCTGGAGGCGCTGGAGCTGGAGGTTCTGGAGCTGTTGGAGGCCTTGGAGCTGCTGGTAGTAGTACTGGAGGTGCTGGTGCTGGAGGAGCTGGAGCTGGTGGTACTGCACAGCCGCGACTGTTCTTCGCTCCGCCGTCACCGTCGTCTCTGCCACCGCCTGACTCCGTGCTTCGCCAGGTTCTTAGCCTCTCGCCTTCTACTGGCCTCCCGTTACAGCCAGGCTCCCCACTGCCTGCTCCTTCTCCTTACCCTGAGCAGACAGACTCGCTTACAGAGCGTCGTGAGCCTGCGTCTCGTCCCGCGTCGCCTGTTCGCGCTGTTCGAACTGGTCGTCGTGTTCCTCGTCCGCGTCCTCCTCCTGTCCCCGGCACTCACACTATGACACTTCGTCCTTCCTCTGTTCCACAGCGTGTCCCTCTGCCGTCTCCTCCTGCGTCCTCTCTTCCGCACGTTCCGGACCCTGAGTCTGACCTGGTTCGTGCTGCCAGCCCTACTGTCACGCGTCTCCTAGCCACTGTTGTTACTGACACTTCGTTTGAAACCACTGTTGCGTCTGACTTAGTTGCTGACCTTGTTGACTTTGCTGCTGCTTGTCGTCTCGACTACGCCGCTAGTCTTGTTGCTGAGTCTGAGTCTGTTTGTCCTCCGTCCGTCGGGGGTGAGTGTGCTCTTGGCACGGACGTCCTTGAGGACAGGCAGGAGGACTTTGAGTGTCTTGCAGCTGCTGTACCTCATCTCGTGGACATGCAGCTTGCACCTGAGGGAGACCCGGATGCACTGGACTTTCCGACCCGTGCTCTTACGCAGAGGCTATCACGGGTCCCTACTCCTCTCAGTGGAAGACAGCCATGGACGCAGAGATGGCATCCTAGAAGTCCACAGGCACTTACGTCGACGCAGTCCCCCCACCTGGGGTGAACATAGCCGATGGAATGTGGATTTTCAGGGTGAAGCGGCCGCCGGGTTCTTCGCCTGTCTTCAAGGCTCGTTATGTTGCACGAGGCTTCAGTCAGCGACAGGGAGTTGACTTCTTCCAGACCTTTTCCCCCACCCCGAAGATGACCACTCTTCGGATGCTGCTGCACGTTGCCGCTCAGCGTGACTACGAGCTTCACTCTCTTGACTTCAGCACAACGTTCTTACAGGGCCTCCTCCACGATGAGATCTGGCTGCGCCGCCCACCTGGCTTTACTGGGTCGTTTCCTGCTGGTACCCAGTGGAGCCTCCGGCGGCCAGTCTACGGTCTCCGCCAGTGAGTGGCACGAGACTTGTGGCTCTTGGGTTTGCTCCTTCGACTGCAGACCCGTCGCTGTTTCTTCGCACCGACACTTCGCTGCCGTCGTTCTACATCCTCGTGTACGTCGATGACTTGGTTTTTGCCACTGCTGACACTAAGGCTCTCGCCCTTGTGAAGTCGGAGCTGCAGAAGAGACACACTTGCACAGACCTGGGTAAGATTCGCAACTATCTTGGCTTGCAGATCACCCGGGACAGAGCACGACGCACCATCACCCTGACTCAGTCACACATGGTGCAGCAGGTCCTTTAGCGCTTCGGCTTCACTTGGTCCTCGCCACAGTCCACTCCTCTGGCTACCAGTTACTCGCTTTCAGCTCCACCTTCGGACGAGTCCAGAGATTGCGGGCTGCCTCATGTACCTGATGACCTGCACTCGACCTGACCTTGCGTACCCTCTTAGCATCCTGGCACGCTAGGTTACGCCCGAGAGACATCGACGAGAGCACTGGTTGGCTGCTAAGAGGGTGTTACGCTACTTGTGCAGTACATCGGGCATGGGGCTCGTGCTTGGAGGACGGAGTCGAGTTGTTCTCACTAGATACTCGAACGCGTCTTGGGTTGACGACCTGGCTACGTAGCGACCTTACACGTTCAGCCTTGGCTCCGGCTCTGTTTCTTGGCGGTCTACCCGCTCGTCTTCTGTTCTCAGCTCCAGTTGTGAGGCTGAGATCTACGCAGGAGCCATGGCTGCACAGGAGTTACGCTGGCTCACCTACATGCTGACTGACTTGGGAGAGCGGCCTCGTTCTCCTCCAGTTCTGTACGTAGACAACAAGGCTGCTATTGCCTTGTGTCAGGAGCACAGAACGAAGCACATCGCTCTGCGTTACTTCCTTGCTCGAGAGTTGCAGCAGCGTGGTCAGCTTCGTCTTGCTTACGTGGCCACTCGGGCCAACACATTTGATATATTCACCAAGTCACTTCCGCCTGGTGATCATCAGCGTTTCTGTACTGCTTTAGGCCTTGTGCCTGCTTCGTCTCACTTGCTCACTGCGTGACTTTGCTTGTACTGTGATCTATATATATACCTGCATGCTTACTCTTGCTAGGTAGTGATCACTGTACTGTTTGCTCTCTTTTATATAACTCTGCATGTGAACTGGCCTTGTGGCCATTTGCTTGTGCTCAGAATGTGTGGTGACTTTGTGATCCACCCTGAGCTTGCTTTGCTTTTCTTGATTGAGCTTGTGACCACTGGTTCTCCCTTACTTTGCCTATGGGGGTGTGTCAAACTATAATGATGCTTGTGCTGTGTAGGCTGTAGTGCAACCCAAATTAGGGTTAGTACTTGTACCCACATTTCTGTTCAATGCACCATTCTCTGCTCGTTATTTTCTGACAGCTACAACAAGCAAAACATTTTAACCAATAATAGGCACACTTTCGTATACAATACCTTCTACAAACAGGCTGTCGCTCTCATTGCTCTTGCCGAAATCTTCTGTCGAGCGTCGCAGTTTTCCTCCTCTAAAAATGGCGATTACCTCATACCAGTCCACCTCATACTGCATCAGAGAACACCGCATGAGGTGTTTCAGGCTGCTATTTGAGATGCAGCCTCATTCCCATGACTTTATGAGGTTCTGCCTGATGAACCCACATCGTTCACATTCGCCCGTGCTCAATGGCAGCACGGCGACAGCTTGCCAGATTTTCATTATGTTGGTAAACTACTGCTGCTAGCTGTCGTCTTGCATTTCGTTCATCAACGCCTGATGGAAGACCTCATTGTTGTGCTGGTTGAACATGGTCGAGGTGAACATCCAAAGTTTTAGAAACTGAGGAGCTTTAGGAACGAGAGAATGGTGGTAAATAGGTCAAAGGGGGGTACAAGCAAAGAGTCGAGATATTTTTTGTACCCCCTAACAAGCAACTCACTACAACCTCTCGAGTAAAGAAAACATAGTTTGACACTCCCTGATAGGCTAAATGAGGGGCATCAAAGCAAGCAAAGCAAACAAATGGTCACAAGGCCAGTCAAGAGAAGCAACAAGACAAATCTCAGGGTGTATCACAATGTCACCACACAGTCTGAGCACAAGCAAGCAACCACAAGGCCTAACTGCATACAGAACCCGTAGTGGTCACTAGGCGGAAGAGCCTTGGTCAAGATGTATGCAGTATTGGCCTCTAGGGCCATGAAGTCCAAGCGTGCCTGGCCGCGTCGCTGCAACTCTCGCAGGAGGAAGCACCTTACGTCGTTGTGCTTCACTTTGCTCTCCACTCAAGGCTCACGACACAGGAGGATCACGGCCTTGTTGTCAGCGAACAAGGTCAGTTTAGAGCTCGGCTGCTCATTATGGCCAGTGAGCAAGAAAGTCAACCGGCGAAGCTTATGTACAGCCATAGCACCAGCGTAGACCTCTGCCTTTACGCTAGCCTGTGCCACGGACGACGACCGAGTAGACCTCCACGACACAGCTCCTGCGCCCAAGCTGTAGCCGTACCCTTGAGTAGACCGCTAGGTCTCGAAGTCATTGGCGTAGGAAGAGTCACAATGACCGGTCTGCACAAATAGCTATGTCCCTTCAAGGACAAGGCCCATGCCTGATGTAGTCGCTAGGTACTTCGCCACCCTCACGCACAATAGCTGTCCAGTGAACAGGACGGTGTCTCCCAGTTGCAACAGAGTGAGACAGGTTGCCGAGGGGAAAAGCGAGGTATTGACGAGTACAAGTTATCAAGTACATCAGGCAATCCACAAGCTCTGCGTAGGGACCACTGGGCTCAAACGGCTCGTCAGGAAAAGGATCAGTGAGTCCGTGGTCGACGGCAAGAGGAGTGGGCTGAGTGGTGGAGAACACACAAACCGCTGAAGCTCCTGCTGCACCATGTGTGTCTGTGAGAGTGTGATGGTGCGAGCGGCTTTGTAAGCCAATGTAGTCGGGCAACTCACCAATGTCAGTGCACGTGTAACTCTTCTGCAGTTTGGTCTTCACCTCAGCCAGAGTGGCCCTGCCTGCTGCAACGAAGACCAAATCGTCGACATAGATGAGGACGAAGGAAGGTGTTGGCCTAGAAAGAACGAACAGCGACGGGTCGGCGGACGAAGGTCGGAACACCAGTGCAGCAAGAGTGGTGCGTAGCGTGTCGTGCCACTCACGGGGCGCCTGACGGAGACCGTAGACTGGTATGGAGGAGAGGAAGGTAGTCCAAGGGCCCGCAGGCCACTCACAGGTGGAGGCAACTACTGCAAAGGTGGCAGTTGCTGCTGCTGTTGCTGCGGCGGCGGCGGTGGCTGATGCTGTCGCAACTGTTCCTCCTGCTGCTGCTCCTTCCGCCACTGCTGCTCCAGCTCCAGCCTCTCCTGCTCCATTACCTCCAGTGCCAGTATCCTCAGCTCCAGCACCCCCAAAATTAGCACCTCCAGTGCTAGTACCCTCAGCTAGTAACCTCCAATGCTAGTAACCTTAGCTTTAGCACCCTCAAAACTAGCACTTCCAGCGCATGTGCCTCCAACAACAACACCCCTAGAGTTCGCTGCACGATAGTGCCTATCGCGATAGTGCCGAAGGCTGCTGCGGTGACTTTGAGGACGATTGTGGAAATGTGGGAGGTACCTGACATGTTTTAGAGGGGAGAGGTGTAGCGTGGGACACACCTATCAGGGCAGTTTCAGAGGAGGGCAGATGTACCGGAGGAACGGGAGGAGGAGAAGGAGGAGGAGGAGGAGGAGGAGGAGGAGGAGGAGGAGGAGGAGGAGGAGGAGGAGGAGGAGGAGGAGGAGGAAAAGGAGGAGGAGGAGGAGGAGGAGGAGGAGGAGGAGGAGGAGAAGGAGGAGGAGGAGGAGGAGGAGGAGGAGGAGGGGGGGGGGGGGGGCTAGGAAAAAGGGAGGGGGGGGGGGGGACCGAGAGACCTCGACGGGTAGGACAGAGACTTGCCAAACCGGACGTCGTGAGAGTCGAGGAACCGGTGGAGGGGCGGGTGGTAAAAGGTGTGGTCAAAGAAGCCCACCAGGAAACCAAGGAAGATACAGGGGAAGGCGCGAGCTGAGAGCTTGTCCGCACAGGTGTCACGGAAAAACGCAAGGCAACACCAGACACGAAACTTCGACGCAACACCAGTGGACCCAGTCCAAACACTGGTCGGTGAAATCCCTGGCCGCGAGACACGAGGCTAGAGGTTCAGCTAGTGGGCAGTGTGACGAACCGCATAGGGCCACATAAAAAGGGGCGCACGGGCATGGAAAATGGAGGTACGGGCGATCTCTATGTCCAAGCCAATGTGGGCCTCAGCAGCCCCATTCTGCTGTGGGAACTCTGGAAACGTCCAGGATTGGGTGATGCTCTGCTCATAACAGAATCTGGCAAGAACGCCAGAGCAAAACTCACCCCCACGTCAGAGCAAAGACAATTGACACTTCTCAGTGGCCAGCAACCGCCCGATCAGGGTAAAAGTCACCTCGGACTTCTTCGCCAGAGGGAACACTATAGTGTAGCGGGAGTAATTGTCAATGAACACCAGTAAGAAGCTCTCCCTCTCGGGCCCAGGGCAAGGGAAGGGGCACCACACGTCCAAATGGAGAGTCTGGAAGGGCGCGGTGGCCGGACGAAGGGAGGAGGAGTGAGGGTTGGCGTACCTACCCTTGACGTAGAGGGTGCACGACAGCACGGGCAAAGGAGGGAGCGACGCAAAGACGCATGGTAGACCTAGGACAGGACGCTGGCTAGACATGCTACGAAGGCGTGGGAGGGACGGGTGACCAAGACGATGGAGCCACAAGACTGTTGGGTGGGAGAGTGACTGACAGGAGAGTTACCTGGCTAGATGCAGCTACCTGCGGGGGGCGCACAGTGTGCAGAACAAAGAGGCCCGAATGGGGCTCCCTGGTGATCGTGGTAAGAAGTGTCCCGGTGGTCCGTACAGATCGCAGTCCCCGTATGCTTATGAAACATGGCTGTGATCCCATGATCCTGAAGATATCCAACACTCACCAAGTTCCGAGAGATCAAGGTGATGTAGATACCAATGAGGACACCAGAAGGGACAGCCGGGTACGGGAGGGTGGTAGAATTACGAGTGACTGCTGGTTCAGAAGTAGGATCAGCCAGGACAACTAAGACTGGAACAGGAAGAGGTGTGACAGCGGTGTGGTCCCGGAAGAAGCACAAAAACTTGCAAGAGTCAAGCGTGAAGGAGACAATGCGTCAGCCGCAGGTATACCTGGGCTACTAACTACACGTGCACCTACACTAGAAGCACAAGGCCCTACACTAGCAGCTGGCCGAGGTCCTAACCTAGGAACACGCAAATCAACATATTCGATATGACTGAGTTACAGGACTAGAGTTATCAGCTTACAAGACAGTATAAGCTTCATACATAGACATAGAATAAAGATTATAACCACGGTCAGTTAGAGTCGGCCAGTGCGGAAGAGACGAGTCAAGCCCAAAACACTCACGGTAGAGGTCGTCGAGGCGGGGGTAGCAGTGGGACGATGACTGGTCAGGGCGCAAGCAGGTAGTGATAGCACCAGGGCCATTCAGGAACCGGTATTGGCAGGGGCCGACATCACGACCACCTCGGCGAGCCGCCCATCTGGTTGTACTTTAGCTGGGACCATTATGTCCCCATTGTTGGGAGTGATGCTGCAACTGTCGCTGCGGATGGTCCTGCTGCTGCAGAACTCTAACGGACGCCATGGCACAACCCAGAGGGGCGTAAGAGAGGCAGGAGCTAGAAACAGCCAGACAAGGAAACGTGGCGTAAAGGCTAGCCTAGAAGCCGGTGAAGAGGGTGGCGAACGAAGGTAGAAGGAGCCTAAGGAACAACTAGGCTATAAGCTTAAGACTCACTCAGACAGGTGACTGCGGCTGCCAGTTGCCTTAAAAAATGTCGATTGCTATAAACGTATTGAAGAGATAGCAAATACGTGTGCAACTGCAGCTGCCAGGTGTGGTTGAGTGCGGTTGAGTGCGGTTGAGTGCAGTTGGAGTGCGGATGAGTGCGGTCTAGCATGGTGGAGAGCGGTCTAGAGCGGTCAGTAGCGGTTAGGAATGGTGGGCTCGTGAAGGAGCACGGGCAGCAGTGCATAGCGAAGGCACGTGCAGTTGCTGCTGGTGTTACTAGTAGTGCGTAGGCGGCTGCGAGTGCGCATACAACTGCTGCTTCGCTCGTCTGCTCGTGCGCGGCGGCGTGCGTAGGGCAGTGCTCGCGGGTGGTAGGGCAGTGCGTGCGAGTGGTAGCGCAGGGTTCAGCACGTGACGGGTCGGGGCACGGGTAGGGGCTGCAGTGGTGCACGGTGGCAACTGCTGCGCTCGCGGCGGCGATGGCTGTTGCGCTCGCGGCGGCTGCTGCTCGTGTGCGTGCGTTGGCGCGCGCACTCGTGGCTACTGCTGTTGTGCGCACTGCCTACTCGCAGCTATGCGTGTGTTGCGCGTGCGGCTATGCGTGCTCAGCGGCGTGCGCGTGGCAAAACAGGGCGCATGATGGGACGAAAAAAGGGGGGCGGGGCAGCGCATGGCAGCCTACGCGCGCAAGCGTGCATCGCGAAAAAGGACTTGCCAGTAGGCTGCTGAAAAGTTGCAGAAAAGTAACTCGGCGGATACTTTGGTTTTGCAACTTCGCAGTGATGGACAACAGTTGCAGAAATGCGAGTGACTGCAGAGTTGACAAAAAGTTGCAAAAAAATTGCAACCCTGCAACTGGATCGCAACTCCCTCGACACAATACTGCAAACATGCGGACACATTTGCGCCACCTTCCGCAAGCATTGCAAACGCAAACAACATGCCGCGCACCTGCAGCCTATTTGCAGAAACATCACTCCTCGCAAAGCGCGTACCCGGTTACAATGTGGCGCCACCGGGCACACAGCATGCCCGGTACGGTTGCCTGCCGAAACGTACACCACTCGTGCGCGAGCAAGTGTTGAATACAGACTGGCCCACCCCCTAGTAACCCCACTTCGCCCACCACTGCAGTTGCATCGCGGAAGCCCTCGTGGACCAATCGCGCGACGCCCCAGACCCAGCAACGGCCTATCGCATACCGCCACTGAACACCACCGCATGCGCGACGGGAGCCACTGGAACGGAGGTGCATGCCCGAGCCCTGTGTGCCTGCCCAATAACGCAATTGCCACACCGTAACCCTATCACCTCCACTGTCCCTATGATTGGCTCCAAACACCGTCGCCCGCGAATTTCGCGTCATCGCGGGCCCCCCCTCTTCCGCACACTTTCCGCGCCCTGCCCAACCAGCGCCCACTACGAACATTACCGGATTTTGCCACTGCGTTACCACCCCTATGTACACACAATCTGGATCGTAGCACACCCGTGCACCCTCTGCATCCTACGTCCACACGGGCAATAACCCGGGGCTCACGGCGTGAATACCAGCCGTCGATCTCACCGGAGCGCTCTTTACGCCCACCATTGGATGGCGCACTGTAATGCATCCCGCTTGCGCGAAATGTATGCGTTACTGCATTCGTTTTCCCGTTTTGTGGTAGCCATTACTAGGAACAGTTCAAAAATTATGCACTAAAACAACACATACCACACCATATCCAAACACCACAACGTGCCATCCTACAATTACAAACCCATTAATAGCCACACCAACACTACTGAGCAAGTCCAGAGCCACGTCACTTGACGTAAAACCATTAGTTATTGCCCGCCTGCAACGACAACTTTCAAACCCTGTGTGCCTTAACCACCCACTTCTTGGGCAGCTAATCCTCTTCCTCCGCCACAAGTCGGATGCGATTGCAACGCCCTCTCACGACAGCCCCTGCCTCAGCCCGCTTACAGGGAAACTGATGCTCTATCATCAGCCACTGGAGCCCTATGCGCATACCGGCCGGAAACCAGGTGCTCAAGCCCATCCGACGACAGCATCAACCCATGTTCCCCCCACACCCACGCCGCCTCGTCTGCATCGTACGTTGGCTTGAAATCCTGGATCGCTTGAGCCACTGCCGCAGCGGCTACCTCCTGCAGCCCGTTCACCACCTGCGCGTTGCCGCCTGCTGAATTTGACAGACGCCCCTTGCGCTTGTCCCAGTTCAGGATGGTGTCCGTCACCTGCGTGGACCAACAAGCATCTCGGGCACTCGCATGAGCATGTTCACAATCCCTGAAGTTGCAACTATAAGTGATGCAACTTACCACGTGCTCGAGCCACGCCAACTGGTACAGCTTCACCTTCACTGTCCCTGTGACCTTCTTTGGCCGGAATGCGGTGGCGGCGCACGCGGTGAATGCCCCACTAGCAAAAATCATCCCGGTCTTGCTCTCGCTCCAGGTTGACAGTGTTAGATCCTCTGCACACACCATCCGCCAACGCAACATCAGAACAGCAAAACTCCTGCCGAAGGGATGGCTCCCCGGAGTCCCGACCTCATCGTACCGTTGACGTCGTCCAGAACGCGATAGCGAGTCCGCACCTCCGCGGCCTCCCTGGCCTCCTTGCGTCTCCACGGACTCTTCGCATCCCGCTCGTCGCGCCACAGTCCAATGCGCGGCAGCGCAATGTCTCGTACACGGCCTGCAACCTCCGTCTTCCACTGGCTCAGACTCTTGTTCAAGTCATCGCGTCGCCCTTTGTCTGCCGACAACGCGACAGCAGCAAACTTCAGCGTCAGCCGTGGCGTGACCCAGCATAACCCCAGTGTCTTGTCGTAGCTGCTGGGGTAGAATGTCATAGCATCATTTCCCCGCTCGATAAACAGGTACTCCCGCACAAAGTCGCAGTGCTTCTGCCAGAGCAACCGCATGAGACAATGGACCCTTACAAACACCATTAGATACAAACGGGGACTCCCCCAAACGACATACGCTAGACACGCAGGTATATAGACAAGACCGCACTGCGCAAACCTCACCTTCCACGCCTTGCCCGCCGGCATGAAGTCAAATGCCTCCTGGAGTATGGGAGAGCTCGCCTCTATCATATGGCGCCTCTTGCGCACACGGCGGACCGGCGCGGGCTCCGCTTCCGCCTCCACATCATCCCCCTCCGCGGATGAAGCGTCCTCGGAGCCTGAATCGACCCGCCGGCGCTTGCTCAGAGGCCCTCTCTTCACCGCGCGCCCGCTCCTCCCTCTGACATCTCTGCCTCTTGTTATGCGTCCTGGGATCCTGTGCGGACAGCAGCAACGCCTCCAGGCGCGCAATCCGCCGTTCGCCGTCGTCTCTGGCCGCCTTCAGGGCCTCGAGCTCGGCGCGGCTAATGACGACGTTGTCGTTAGTTGACGTCTCCTCACGCCGAGAACCACTTGCCGGCTGCCCTGACACGCTCGGCATCGCCACGAAAGGGTTGTCCGGCACCGAAGGCCTCGGCGCCTTCGCCGCCGTGTCGTGCGCGGCCGGGTTCTCGTCCGCCATAACCGACGCGACCGCTTTGGAGCGGACAGGAACATCCTCGCCTCCCCGTCGCTGCCGACATCCTCATCTCCTGCGCCGACGCTTGACGAAACCGCCGCCTGCGGCGTCACTTGCGATGCTCCCTGTGCCGCACTAGCCACCCCTGATCGCGGGTGTAACAACGCATACAGCCGCCATGGTTACGACGTCAGCATATCGCATAACAATGACATAACAATGACATACTCGTGTAGTGAGCAACAAACCCCACACAGTCCCCCCCAGTCCTTGCAAAACCGATGCAAAAATTTTACCTGCGACTGGGACACACTTCTGCTTCGTAATCCTCGGACGCTTGAACTGCCCCGCATTCCCGCGCACACATTTCGGCTCACGAGAACGTTTACCAGGCAGGTGATACTCGTTGCGGAGATACGCTGGTGTGCGCTTAGGCCGCTGTGAGCGGCCTGCTGGCAGTTCTTCCGACGTTCCCAAGGAAGTTTCCATTCCTGAGATGCAAACCGGACCTCCTACGGGATCCGAACACAATTTGACAGAAGTATGCGCATTCCTACAAGAGCCACTTCTAACGCCCTATGCCAGGTCCCGCAATCACGCTAGCCAGTCCCGTTTGTTGCTCCGGATTGCAAGTGACCCCCGGGCCATGTGTGAGCATGTCATTGGATCTCGCGATATCCCTCCACCCTTGGTAGACAAACCCAACAGCCTATCACACGGTTGTGTAGCATCCCGCGTATGCTCGTGGTGTTCGTTATATGCAACAGCCGAACCCAACTAACGTATACAGTGACTTATATCATTGCACTACACAATTACAACTTATTTCACTGCTCTCGACGACACGAATGCACCACAGAATCAGCCCTCTGTCACCCCCTCAGGGTCAACATCAAACATTGCCTCCTCAAAGGCATCCCCCAGCGACACGCCTGTATGTATACCCTGTTCTGCCACTCCGTCCAGTGTATCCGCCTCCTCCTCATTGAGCTCATTCGGCGTTCCCCTCCCAACCTGCGCCTCAGGAACACCCTTCTTCACCCCGCCCATCTCAATCTCCGTATCCACCTCCTTGGCGGCGCCTCCATGCGCATCCGCCGCCTGATCATCCTGTGAATCGGAGTGCGTTTCCCCCTCCCCGCCTGAGTCCTCCTCCGGACAGTCCGCCAGTGCCGTCTCCCACTCTGTCCATCGAAACCACTGTCTGCCCCTTACCAGCCTCTTGACTGCGGACAATGTGCACCCCTTCAGCAGCCCCCTCTCCTCATCCGACAGCTCCACTGTCCCTGACACACGTCGCCCCTCCTTGACCACGTGCACAGCTGCTGCGTACGCAGTGGCTGCCTCCAATTCCTTGTTGTACGCACCCAGCCTCATCTGGGTGCGCTTGGGCTTATCCTTCTCCCAGAACAGTATCTTGGCGCTCCACCTCCCCCGTTTCTCTTTCCGCACACCCTTCCATTTGGAGCTCCGACCCTGTCCATTACTCTTGCTTTTGCTAGCGGGGACGGCGCCCTCAGCATCACTCCCGGGCGAAGGAGTGTCGTCTCGTTTCCTCTTTGCCAGCATAGCCAATACCACGGGCTTCGTCCCACCTGGGTGAACGACCGTATGCGCTGCCTCATGCGTGAAGGGTACACACACCGGGGCTGCCTTCTGCGACCATAACGGCTTCGCCGGCACGGGCAGCGGGGACGGGCAGGGATGTACCACCCCTAGGTCGACATTTGTGGTGCCAGCACCACCCTGGCCAACACTCACAGGAGGTTCTCCTTTGGAACCGGGGCTGTCGGGGGCTCCTGGCCGCGCGCCTGCACGTGGGTTGGGCGTGGACGGTGCAGTGGACCCACTGCACCCAGGTGTCGCCGCTTCCCCATCGGAAGCTTGCTGCTGCAGGACGTGGGCAGCTCCAGCAATGAGCTGGTCGACACTGTACCCCATGGCCGCTCCAACAGCTGTGACAGCTGCCTTCCAGATCGTCAAGTCCCGCTTCATACTGTAGTGCTCCACCTGCATCCGTGTTAGCTTCGTGTTGCCATCCTCCGCACCTGAATCGACTACCGCCCCATGCTTCGCGACCCTGGGGGCGGGTTGCCTCGGGACCACCACTCCCAGCCTCGCTAGCGTCGGTATAAGGTCTTCCGCCGCATGCATGCATAGGTCCACCCGCATGTCCCGCCGCATCTCCAACGCACTGACGCCCCCCAAGTACAGGTAAGATCGTAGTGTCTTGAAGTCAGTGTCCACCAACACCTTCAGAAATTGGCACACAAAGATGCCACAATCATGCGTGTTGTCCTGCTGCTGCACCTGATGCTTCTGCACGCACGTGACGTACCACGTAAAAGAACACAAAATTAGAGATGTGAAGATGTATGGCATGTGCGTCGACACGGGTTAATAGCAGGAGAAGCACACACCTTCATCGGAATGGGTTTCGCCTCCTTCAGATTTGCAACAATCGTGGCTTCATCGCACTCCGTGTGTAAGTCCTTGGCGGTTAGCTCCAGAAACCTGGGACGGCAACAACGAAAAGGGTGAGTTGGGGTTCAGCGTGTGACACGTGAGATACAATCATGAGTCTAGATGTGCAGTCAGTAACTTACAGTTTGACGCGATCAAACACAGATGGGTCGTCACGGTGCGTGCCGTAACTGTCGAGTAAGATCAACTCCAAAGGGCCAGTGGCTTCATCCGTGGTGGCGCGTAGCAGCCGCTTTGGGGACGGCACGACCATAAGCGAGTAGTGCGAACTGCAACGTGGCAAGGGTATGGGGATTGTTAATCGTTTGTGGCAGTAGATGAACACTTGACTTTCGGCTGCACCGCGCCGCTAACCTCTGGTGCTCACCTTTTGAAGATCGGAATGGCCAAGAAGTCCACGTCAAAGATTCGAGAAGAGTTGCCCATAGTGTAAGGCTTCTTGAACGAGTTGCAGTAGTCAAAAGCCTTGCTGTCGACGGCGGCCCATGTTGAGCCGTTGGGCGTCGTGGGGCACCGAATGCTCAGTAGCCTGCACACAGTCCGGTCCACAAACCGTGATGGTGCGGGTACACAACGGGGAACATTAAACCATCGACCGACATGTTCACGTCCTAGTAAACGCTCGGTGTTACACTCACACGTTGTGAAAGTCAACGATGGCGTCGGTGATACATTCACCGTCGGCGATGGTGACGATGTCCGAAGCTTCCACGACACAACCAACGCCGTCCGCGTTGAATAGCGTCAGGTGTTTCATGTTCTCGGGGCGTTTTGCTGTGCGGAGGCGATAGACAAGGTCGTGAGGCTCCGGGAGGTCCGCTTCCGTTTCCAGCGTCGTCTTGTATACCTGCGTAGGACCGTCCCCGCCTTCGGTCTTCAAGCCTTCATTCTTGGCAGGGGTTTCAGTTGTCGTTTGTTGCCTGCCGCTCCGGAGGGAACGCACTATTGGTCGGACCTCCATGACATCTCCGTCGCTAGCAGGGTTGTCTTTCTTAGCACCGCGCTGAGATCGTTCCTTAGAAACACACTGCTTGTCGCGGGCACGCCCAAGAGGGGACATGTCGGATCAAAAAGCAGGAGCGAAAGGTAATCTAAGCGATGGAAATGACAGAGTATGCGCCGACGTCTAACTTATGTTGGCCAAATGCCAGTACACTGGTGCGCAGTGTCGGCCTGGCCTCGGAAGTGATGTGATGGATCCGTAAGATTTGTGGCGGGAAAACCTAGAAGCATGACATGTGGCGCGAAACCATGGCATGCAGATCCGGGCATGCACGAAAGGTACCCTGTATGGTGTAGGCTGATTTGCGCATAACGGAGGTCAAGCTACTCGATTGCAAATTATCGATACGTAAGAGAACGGATACCCGACAATAGCGTGATCCGATACTAGCATCCAACCGAATCATGTTGTGCAGTGATCCCATTTTGCGCATAGCTCGCGTTTGCAAAGTAAGCTCAAGCACACCAGTAACAGCGGTCGAATTTGACGGGTATCGTGTGAGGGCGAGCTCACCTCACACAAAAGTCCTCAACAAGTGAGGTATGTTCCTTTAGGGTTTGCGGGGGGTATCATGAGTGGCAACGTGTGCGGAGGATGCAAAAGAGCATTCCGCGACGACAACAGGCTGCAATCGCACTTGTCATCCAGCGATGCCTGCCGTGAGAAGATTTTAGGGCGGGGGAAAATCCTCCTAGCAGAGGCATACCTCGAGGCACGACAGGCATTTTTTCGCGATGCACCTAGTACTCCTGTACCAGGCACCACCAGTACGGGCGGCCAGAGTGAGAGGTCGTCAGAGAAGCGCAGTGCTCCTCCGACCGCCGCGGAACTAGAGCACAGCGATGATGACGAGCACTCCACCTGTAGTGATCAGAGTTCTGACGGGGAGATTTTTTACACCCTGACTGCGATATATCTCTTCATCCGAGACGCCGACCTATCACGGCGCGAAGTGAACCGTCTTCTGCACATATTCAGAAACCCTAGATTCAACCTGCGTGCATTGCGGCGCTGGCGCAATTGGCTAGACGTGCGGAGATGGGGGGAAGCCAGGGCGCCTCCGGACATGGTCCCGTGGCTGTGCGAAGAGATCGTGGTCAGAGGGCCGAAGGGTCAAACTCAGAAGCTCCCGCTTCACTATAGGAACACGGAGGAGGTACGTACCCGCGCAGTTTCTTGCCAGCATTACGTGAGGTGTGTTCCCATTCAACTAGGCGTGCTGACGTATGCCGCCTTTCCAGCTTGTGAAGAAGATTGTGCGCATCTTTGGGGGAGTGAAGGGGTTCGTAACACAACCTCGGACTGATGTGGACCCGAAGACCAATGCGCGGATTTACAGCGACCCGGAGACGGCCAAATGGCTCGAAGAGGCTCAGGTACCGTAGTTGTTCTGTGCCTTGTTTTTGGCTCCCGTGCATCGGAATGCACTCAATCGCACGCGCGCATGTGTGGCAGAATGAGGTGGACGACCCATCAGCATGGGTGCTCGGCATCATTGTCTACAGCGACGGCACGAACGCAACGCGCAACGGGCGCCGTCAGGCATGGCCCTTCCTCCTTACGCTGGTGAACGTACCGGAGGAGCTGCGAAAGACAGAACCAGGCCATGCTCTAGCTGGCGTGCTGCCTTTCCCTCCGGAGTGGGCTACCTCTACAGAGAAGGCCCGAGTGTTTCAGGAGGCGATTCGGATCATACTGGCGCCGCTCATGCGGGAATCCTCGACGTACGTACACAGCACCAACGCATGACCACCATACAGTGGTTTGATCTTTCCCTCTTTGAATGTTCCCGGTTGCAACTGACGGTTGTGATTTCCATCCCGGATTACATCCCTTGTCGCAGCGCTCCACTGAGAGTCTTTTACGTCACCGACGCCAAGGGAGAGCCGGTGAAGGCAGTGCCATGTTTTTTTGGTTACCCCGGGGACTTCATCGAACATTGCAGAGCTACGGCGACGCTGCAAACGGGGACGAAGCGGCCCTGCTGCAACTGCTACGTCCCGGAAGAGCTTCTTCGAGACCTCGAGCATGTGGCCACACCTCGTACAGTGGAGTCGGAGATGCACGTGCTACGCAACATGCTTGCGTGCAAGACCTTGACAGCTGCGGAGGAGATTCAGACCGAGTGGTCAACTCATCCCGTGGAGGTGCGTCCCTAGTGGGGTGGGGGCTGTCGTGTTGTCCTACACATGCTGTAATTGGCAACATGATCTGAGATTGTGTCTCCCCAAACGTGCAACAACCACCGGCAGTGCGTACTCTCGCGGTGGAACTTCTCGCACACGACGTGGGGAAACCCGTTTGGGGCTTGCGCGGCCGACATCATGCACGTGCTGGATTCGGGGATGGCATTGCACATGCTGGAGAATCACATAACGGTGCTAAGCAAGCCTGAGCGGCGTGATGTTGAGAGGTGAGTAGGCCCGGGTTGCCACGTACGTTAAGCACCTCGGGTCTTGTGCACGTGAGACCAGTATGATGGCAAACCCGTATATGTGCCTATGCGCGTTCCCACCGTTGCTTCAGGCGCAAGAAGACAACCAAGGGAGAGACCCCGAGTGTCATCTTGCGACTCCCTGGAGGCAGCTCCTACTTCATGAGCGGCGCGAACTATGCCGCCTTTGAACACTGCAGCATGATGCAGGTCATGCCCATCCTGGTGGCGGACAAGTCAGCCCTGCGTTCGGGAAAGGAAGGCGAGTTGGCCGCACTGCGCGTGCGTGCCTTCCGGATGTACGCCACCTTCTACAAGGCATTTCTGGGGGTCAGCACACACACGGAGGCCACGCTCGCAACCGCACGGGCCCACGCCATCAAGTATGTCGGATGGGATTTGACGGGGTGGGGGGTGTGGAAGGCAAAGGAAACACGCTTAGCTCTTCGGGAGGGTTGTAGTTTCTGGCCATTGCAACACCGACTGAAGCGTGTGGTCATGCGATGCACTGCACCACAGGTTGGTGGAGATCCTGCCACAGGCATACCCGGACCACGCATCGCATTGGCGCTTTCCCAAGATCCACCTGATTGTCCACTTGCTGGACAATGTGATCTGGCACGGCATGCCGCACCACTACAGCACGGAGATGTGGGAGCATACCTACAAGGGGATGGTCAAGAACCCCGTCAGGGGCGGCAACTGGAAGGACATCCCCAGACGCATCGTGGAGGAGGAGGTGCAGAGGGAGATCTGCAGGGAGGTGGCACAGGACGCGGGTGGTGGGCGACAGTATGCGACAGCGCTGCGCGAGGTGAGCCTATTTGGTGCAGATCCCATTGTAGGCCGTCCGAAGGTGACCCTTTGCCTTATCGCGCAGCCTTGGTTTTTGACAATGTCGCCTTACTCCCATGCACAACCACACCCGCAGGCCGTGGAGACGATGAAACCCGTGCTCACGAGGAAGGGTCGCACAATGCGGCCGGCGGAGGAGGGCGACGCTGTGATGGGAACCTACCGCACGGCACTGGGCCACCTCATGGATGCGCTGCCGGGGAGCATGGTGGCTGCATCCATCACGGCATCCGCGGTCGTGGTGAGTACGCGTCCTGTTGTTGTATCCTTCACTTCAGGTTGCAATACAGGAAGTGCTTATGCCCCTATACGTGTCCTTTGTCTGCACACAGAAGAACGACATTCACCTCCCTCTGACCCCCTTCATGCAGGCCCATACCGCGGTGGCGATTCCACGCACCAAAGGAGGAGCTCTGGTCTCCAAGGGCGCGTTCGTCAAGGCAAGCCCCAAAGAGAAGTGGTTCACGGACTTTGCAGTGAAGTCTCCCAAGAAGGAGGAGTGGTATGCCAAGGCGCTGTGCATCTTCAAGGCTGAGACCGCAGAGGGCGACCGGAAGGGGTTTGTGTACGTGCGGTGGTATGAGAGGGCAGGCATTTGCCCTCTCACCACCTGCGTGCAGCTGACCCCGTCGCACAAGGATACAAGGCACGCAGTGATTGCTGTGGAGAGCATTGAGCGCGTTGTGCACATTTGTCGCTCGTTCAGCAACCCCGCGGTGTTGCTGCTGAACAAGTTCTTGCTGTGTGAGTGATTCATTGGTCGTGGAGTATGCGTCGGACGCCAGGATGGGAAGGGTGTGCTTATGTGTGTGCTGTCTGACCGGTCGACACAAACCTGTGACTGACATTCAAGTAGTATGAGTAGGCCTTAATCACGTGCCCCGCACGCTGTGTGCAATTAGTCACACCAATGCGCCAGTACGGTAGTTAGTCGAGGAGTCTGAACATAGGTGGAGTTGGTTTCTGTAGTTGTTAAATCGACAACCTAGTTATACACATTTGGTGTATCCGACCCTCCCGTGAGTGGACATGGGGTATGCTGTGCCGCGTATGCCGCCAGCATACAGTATCGCACTGTACAGAACTGCAACACTTTTGCGCGTTCGGGTTTCAGTGTACCGGGGCGCAGGTGTCTGCCACGACGGACATGCGGTGGGGGTTGGAGACTCGGTTGGGAAGTGGTCGATATCCGAATGCCGGTTAGCGATTGGTGCGCAGTTCTGAGTAATTGGTGGATACAGTTGGGTGGTGTTTCTGGAGCAATCGCTTTCAGGGTACGGGAGCCGGATGATATGCTGAGGTGGCACTTGAGTGGCCACCCTGGCCCCAACCAGGGATGTGTTGCAAACGATGTAGGAAACCCCAGCACTTGTGGATTCAGAACTGAACTATATGGAATAGCAGCATACCTTTTCCTGCGGCAATGGCGTCCCTGGTATCCCTTCTCGAGGCGCTGAAGGCCCCGCCCGAAAAGGTGTTCACTTTCACGGAGTTTCCGCTAATCCCCACACGGGTGCCTCTAGGGACTTCTATCGATGAGCGCGCGCAGCTTTCGCGGGAGTGGCACATGCCCGTGTGCTTCATGTACAACGCGACTGGATGTGTCACGAAACCGCCGATCGTGGTTCTACGAAGGGATGACAAGAGGCCCGTACATGCGGGGCGCAAGAAGGAGCACGACGTGAAAGTGCGCTACGCGAGGAAAGGGCGTTTTTCTTGCGAGGTGAGCGGCTTCAATGTTGGACTTTGTAGGTTGCGCGGAATAGGGTGTATAGTGGCATTTCGGTGGTCGTTTCATCTCCGTCATGCGGGAAGCCATGACATCCGTTGAGTTGCCCGCGCAGTTGTTCACGGAGTACATGGAGGAGTTCAATGGGGAATTGCACGCCAAGAACGAGAGGGCGGTGGTACTGGTGCACAACCCGTTGCACACACTCACCGGGTGTGTGAAAGAAACCAGCACGGTGGAGGGGTTTGTCGTGGAGGAGCTTACACGCGTGAAGGTTGTGCAGACATTTGGCGTGGTGCCGGCGGTTGCGTTCTCGGCCATAAATGGTGTAGTGGACTCGTTGAAGGCAGTGTTCCGGACGTGGTTCATGCGGTCGGCCGTGACGAGCACGGAGTGGACACGTGATGGCGTGTTCCCTAGGCCGCCGCTGCATGATGTCCTGTACAAGCTGTTCATGGCGGGCAAGTTGACGATGCCCGGGACAATCCAGAGGAGCTGGTGGCGGGCTGGCACCGTGCCGAAGGGTTGGCTGTCGCGGATGGACCGCCTGAAGGGGAAAGCTGCGGCCGGCATGTTTGACATGATGGTGGTGGACTTGACGTGCCTGCAGCTGGTGATTGAGGAGTTCAAAAGCAAGTGCAGCAGCGGGGCGTTTATGACGGCGTGGGACTTCGTGGGGTGCGACGAATTTCTACTTGAGAAGTGGGCGCCTGAGGGGGCCGAGGAGGAAGGCTCAGAGGATGAGATTCCGGCCTTTTTTTGCATCCCGGAGGGCCCGCTCATGCGCGACAGGCGCAGCTGTCGCCGGGTGGGCCGCATGGTTCACGGTGGTTTCGTGAAGCGTGCGGAGGCCTTGGGTATTCAGCCGAAGGACGTGCCAGAGGAGGCCGGCGTGGTGAATGAGGAGGTTGCGAGCCGCCTTCGATGCACACCTACTAAGCGCATCCGGGTGTGCAGCTCCAGTGATGAGGGGCTCACGTCTTCCGCGTCGGATGAGGGAGGCCACATCCCGAAGGCGGGTGTGTTGTTCCCATTGGAGGATGACAAGGAGAGCGTCATACGCATGGTGTAAGGCAGTAGTGTGGCCGTGCTTGCGGAGCGCGGGTTGCTCTGGTACTACAGAGTAGAATACATGACATGGGTGTCATGGAGCTGTGGTAGGCGTAGTACGTGCTGCTTGTTGGAAGTGTGGGGTTTGCGCTGGAAACATGTGTGGTTGTTGTGGTTGATAATGCAGAAGGATTCAATGGTGTATCAGATGTGTTTGCTATGTTGGATGGCGTCAACCGGGCTCTCGCGAAATGTGCAAATTTCTTGTACACCAAACGTAAGAGGAAGTGTTCGGTTGTGTAACACCACAAGCAAACGGGTATTCCTTGTATGCGAACCGCGGAGTGTACTTGATTGCCCAATCGCATTCACCCGCGGCGCGAGATGTCACGGACCGCCGGGAAAATTTGGCATTCCGCAGCGATGGCGGTCCGGCCGATGTGTGCCTCACCCTGTGTGCAGGACTTGGTGGGAAATGTGGAAAGTTGCAAGGACCGGTAGCTCGGACTCGGATACTTTTCTGCAACTTGGGCGCAACTTTCCTGCAGCTCTGGGACTTAGACGCGAAAATTGGCCCAACCCTTTTCCGCGATGTGTGTTTGGCTAGGACGGCATGCATTACGGGGAATTACGAGGTGTTACAGTGCGTTACGAGGTGTTTTAGTCAAAAGGGGGGGTATAGGCAAACTGGCGAGAGATTTTATGTACCCCTTAAAATGCAAGTCACTTAGCCTATATGGTAATACAAACATAGTTTGACACTTGCCTCTCATAAGTTTCATCTTGGTTAAAATCGTGTACGGTACCATCGACTTTGTTCTAAACCCACTATGTGTCCATGGTAATATATTGTACCCTACTCCCTTGAGCAAGCATGAGCACAAACACAGCAAGGAAGGGAAAACGGGAGTGGCATGAGCAGTATGGTTGCATTGATTATGTATCCGTCCTGTCTGCATGCACTATAGATGCTTGTGAACTTATTCCTTCTGGCCTGTACTGCATGCGTATGGAAGTTAAGGTACATTTTTGTCTTGACATTTGAAGGTAGCTGAAGGTATGTATGTACCCTGAAGGTATCCTGATGTCTCCCGTGAGTACGCAAGTGCTAAAGAACGTAGGCGAAGCTACGATCACTCCTAGAGTTGGTGTTAACTGTCAGAAATATATTATTATAACTGCATGTAATCCTAGCAGTAGTGTAGTTATCACATTCTGTTTGGTGGATTACCCCCTTTCCTCCCCTATTTGTACCCTTGACTCTATAGTGAAACTCCCTTCTCCTTGCACTAAACTCTCTCGACACCCTTCCTCTCAACCCTTGCCATGGCTCCTAAAGCCACTACCTAAGTCCTCCTTTTGACATGGTTTCAGAGCGGGTTCCTTCTTGGAACCTTCCAATATTTTCAAGGATCATGGGCCCACCCGTCGCGCAGCCCATCATGCGCCCCGCGGGTCCCCCGAATCGCCCCGTGGCGCCCTTCCGTTTCGTCGCCCCGCGGCCCCCCGTTTCGGCGACCCGCCGCCCCCGGTCGCCTCGCCAGCGCCTACGCGGACACCAGCGACGAGCGTCGCTGCAGGCGCCCGCGACCAACGATCAGCGCCCGCCACGGACACTAGCGACGAGCGCCAGCGCCAGCGCCTGTGTCAACTCCGGGCACCAGCGCCTCCGCCAGCATCAGCAGCTCCGTACACCACCCCTTCCCTTCCCTTCCGCGGCTTCTACCGTGGAGGGGGGGGAGGGAGACGTGGGGGTGTGAGCATCCTGCAGCCCGTCCCTCCCCTCCCTCTTCCTCTCTCCCTGCAGCAGTCGTTGCTGGAAGGGGGGGGGGAGAGAGGTTAAGGGGGGAGATGAGGGGGTGGCGGCTGTGAACCCCCAGCAACCGCCACTGCTACTGTGGCACCTACTTCTGCAGCCCCTGACGCCACTCTCTCTTCGTTTGTCTTTCTTTGCTGTTGAGCTGCAGGCATTGCCGTTGAGCCCTGCGTTGCCGCCACCCTTTCTAGCCGCACGCACCTGTTGTCCAGGCTACCTGCGCCACATGCACCTTCTCTTTGTTTCTTTCTTGCCTCAGGGCTTACTGCGGCTGTCTCTGCCACTACTGCACTGGTTGTAATTGCTCTTGCGTGCTGTTGCTTTGAGTGCACCTGCAGGTTGTGATTTGCACTTTGCTATTCCTGCATGCAGTTAAGGGGGGATGTCAGAATTGCATTATTATAACTGCATGTAGATCTAGCAGTAGTGTAGTTATCACATTCTGTTTGGCGGTTTACCCCCTTTCCTCCCATATTTGTACCCTTGACTCTATAGTGAAACTCCCTTCTCCTTGCACCAAACTCTCTCGACACCCTTCCTCTCAACCCTTGCCATGGCTCCTAAAGCCACTACCTAAGTCCTCCTTTTGACACCAACCCCTGTAATCTAGCTCACAACCTCTGTAGAGTGATTCTCCGCAGCGCGTGCATAACAGCGCCTAAGGTGCAGCGGGACCTCGGGTTTGACGGGGCAACGGGATCTAGGTGCGGGCGAGAGGCGGTCTAAGGTAGGCTAGGATGCCATAGCGGAAGCGCGGATCCTAATCTAACTGATACCATGTCAGAAATTGGACTCAAGAAAATGCCTAACTGAATGACATACAAGGCTTATATCAGCAATGGTGTACCGTATTCTCCGGGACATAACACCCTAGGGTATATGTAAAAATACAGAAAAAAAAAGGGGGGGGGGGGGGGGGGGGGGGGGGGGGGGGGGGTGGTGTTCTCATAGGAAAAAGCTACATAATACCCTGGTGCCTAAATATGGCAGTTAGTGTTTTTTTAATTAGACAACGTGGGTGTTTTGATGGTCGTTTTAACATCACAATCTAAGGCGCGAATGTGAGTTTCGGCCCACGAAAATGCCTTGTGGCACCTCTCTGACCACTTGCAGCGGAAGATTCACCTGCACATGGCGACAGCGAAATATTGGGACGGGGGAAATCTCGAGAGATTGTAAGTGAAAATACCGTGAAATTTCATTGAGGAAGGAATTCTCGCTATAATAAAGAATCCGCAAGAAAAAGGGGGTGGTGTTATAGAAAATCAACCAAAAAGGGGGGTATAGTAGAAGGTCACCCATAGCACCCACCTCGCACAAGCTACTCGGGGGTGTACAATCAAGGGGGGTGTGTTTTGTCCGGGAGAAAACGGGTACTCACTACACAGTATCTCAACATAAGCAACCTACCCTAACAAGATATGTGCAAATATAGTTTGACATTAAAGACAAGTAGTTAGTAACCTTTCCCAAGAATATTCCTACAGTCTGACACTCCCCTAACAACCACTCCAGCACGGAGCAACTCCCGGCAAGCCCTTTCAGAAACCTTACTCGCCTCCACCTTCAAATACCGCAGCCTTGGCACGTTCCCCAGCAGCCCACCAACGCCGCCTGCAGTGACTCCACCACACCCCACCGCAGTCAACCGAGTCAGCACCTCCAGTTTACTCCGTGCAATCACCACATCTGAGAACTTAACACTGCCTTCCACCCTTAGATCCTCCAGCATGCCACATGCACGGAGCAGCCTCACCAGCTGCCCCTCCCCCAGCCCACAGCAGTTTAAGAGCGCCAAGCTCTTGAGCCTCCCAAACACAGCAGCTCGCGCCAGGGATTTGAAGGTCTGTGGCTCGCTACTCAGACCTCTTGGGACAGGATAGCAGGAGGAGGATGAATGAAGGGAAGGGGGGGGTGTGGTGGGGGGCGAGTAGCACATGAGAGGTGAGGCAGAGGGGAGGGGGGAAGGCAGCCAGGAAGGGTCATGATCATAGGCGAACTGAATGCTCTCAAGGGTTAGGGATTCCAACGGAGGGCAAAACACCTCCACAGGAATTGCAAGTGTGCTCTTTTTGGAGGTGTGCTTTTATTTCGAGATGTGCTCTTTTTGGAGGGTATGCAAATGCTCTTGTTTGGTGTTGTGCGCCCCTTCAAGGGTGTGTGCGTTGACCTTGTGCTCCCTAGCTGCTCGTCTTCTCTCGTCTGCTCGTCAGCTGTGTGTTGTCCTCCTCCCGACTCTGCCTCTGGCAGCTGCTGCGATGCTCCTTCGGTGCTCGCACCCTCTCCCACTGGCCCACCTGCTTCTCCTTCTGCGCTTGTTAGATCACCCGCTGCTGCCCCATCTGCTGCTGCCCCATCAGCTGCCGCCCCAACTACCACCGCCGCATGTGCTGCTGCCCTGCTGCCCCATGTGCTGCTGCCCCTGCTGCCACCGCCCCTGGCGCCGCAGCCCCAGGCACTGGCGGCGGCACTGCGACGGGCGCCGCGGGTGCCGCAGCAGCCCAGATCACAGCAAGGGGCGTGGCGCCCTCAAAGGCATGGATGAACGACTCCATGTGCGCATCCAGCTGATCGCTCAGCACATGCAGCAGCCTGCGCGCGTCTTCTCTCGACACCGCCACAAACGCAGGCCACTCACCCGTCTGCTCCCCCAGCAGCGTCTCGCTCACCTCCACCAGATCACCCGGCAGGTCACTCTCAGGGGCGAATCCCAATAGCTCCTCCACCTCCTTCCCTCCTCCTGCTCCCTCCCGCCCCTCCCTCTCCCGCTCCCGCTCCTCTGTCTCATAATCCGCTGCTGAGGTGAAAAAACCCGCAGACTCGGCAGCAGAACCGGCCTTTTTCAGTGCTGCCTGGCGTGCCATCCGGCCGTCCACGTGGATCAAAGCCAGCCGCACGCACCGGCAGAACGACATGGCCGCTCGCACCAGAATGACCGCACGGCGGATATTCGCGAGGGCAGACTCCCCGTGCATGCGCGGACTCTCCTGCGCTTCCGAGATTGCTTTCCGGAGCTTCTGCCTAGCGGTGGTCAGCAGCAGGGCCCTTGAATCGTCAATTGCTGCGGCCATGTCAGCGAGTGCTGCTGCCGCTTCTGTGCGGATATCCATGTAGTACCGTCGGACCCCGTTGAACCTCATGCTCATCCCCTTGTGGGTCGGTACTGGCGTGGCTGCGTCTGCTGTGCTTTCTGCTCCAGCTCTTGCTGCCGTTGGTTCTTCTCCTGTTTTTGCTGCTGTTTCTGCTGCTGTTTCTGCTGCTGTTTCTGCTGCTGCTGCTGCTGCTGCTGCTGCTGCTCCACCGGACGCAGCTGTTCCTCCTTCCCCGCCCTTCTTCCCTTCCGGTCTCTCCACTCCATCGACCTCTCCCTCCGTTCCTTCAAAGAACCCCTGCTGCTCCACTCCTCCTCCTCCGCCGCCTCCCCTCTCTTCCACGCGCACCAGAAATGCCACAAGGCCTTCCAAAGACGGCTCCTGCGGCGACTCATACGTCGACTCAGACGGCGACACAGACGGCGACACAGACGGCGACACAGACGGTGATACACTCTCCCTCGCCTCGACCCTCCCTCTCAGCGTGAGACGCTTCAGACTGCTGCAGCGTGCAAGCGTGCCCGGCCGGAACGCGGGCAGCCCGGAGAGAGTGAGCGTGTGGAGGCGGGAGGAGGACGAAAGAAACAAATTGCGGAGGCCTTGTGCGGCGAAGAGAGGGTAGGAAGCGGAGTGGAGGGAGAGGGAGGAGAGAGCCGGATTGGTTTCGACCAAAGCGGCGAGGGAATGACTGGAGACCAAGGGACAGTCGTGGAGAGCGAGGTGGGTGAGCGTGTGGAGGGAGCGAGAGAGCGCGTGAAGCTCACAGGGATCGATGCTGCAGGAGTGGAAGGCGAGAGAGGTGAGTCGCGGGAAGGCGGTGAGAGGCGTGAGAGCGGCTTCGAGCAAACCGGAGTGGATGGTGAGGGATGAGAGGGAGAGGCGGAGAGGGGAGGAGGAGGAGGCGAGGGAGAAGAGGATGAAGGCGTTGGGACCCCAGAGGGTGAGGGAGGTGAGGGAGGAGCAGCGGGGGATGAAGCGGTAGTGCGAGGGCTGGTAGAGGAGCGTGAGTGAGCGCAGCGAAGGGAAGGCGTCTACTGGGGGTGGCGGCGTTTCGTTGAGCTCGATGAACCGTCGGTCGAGTGGGGAGTCGAGCTCCAGTGATGATATGCGGCTGTTGCGATGATGACAGGGGGAGAGGACGCGTGAGAGGTGGCGGGAAGGGGAAACGAAGGGGGAGGGGGGGGGTGGAGGGAAGGGGGGGGGGGGGGGGGGGGGTTGAGAACAGTGGATTGAAGGGACGGTGCGTTGTAGAGGGAAGCAGCTGAAGATGAGTGGAAGAAACTTGCCCCTTGGGAAGGAACGAGAAGGCACTTGTGCTCCATAACTGTCTCTTTGTTAACGCGGTTCAGGGCGTTTACAAGTGGCCATGTGAAATGGTGACGGGAGGCGCGACGCGACGATGTGGGTAAGGCGGGCGCACATGAGTGCAAAGAAATGACGGGAGATGGATGGATGCTAGGAGGCTTGCTGCGGATGGGATTCCATCCCTTCTTGGAACAAGAGCTATCAGAGCCATGAGGATATAAAAGCAAAATAGTAAACCCCGTTCGCACGAAAAAAACTTAACCGCGCGAAAGGATGAAGCAGACGAGAAGCGCGGTTCGCGGAGGGAAATGACTTACTAGGTAAAAGAGTCGCAGCTGTTACAAAATGAACGAGAGGGGGGGGAGCAAGGGGCGCCGTCGCGGCAAGGGAACCAAACCACACTCACGGGCATTGCCGCGCGAGCTTCCTCCAAGCCGTGGCGTTGATCTGAAACCGCGGGTTGCGCACCGACACGAGCTTCAATCTTTCCAGTCTCGGGCAGCCCGCGCCGATTCCCCCCAGCAGCTGGTCGATGGTGGCGCAGCTAACCTCCACCGTGAGGTCGATTATATGGGTAAATACCCCGGAATAAATGTCGAAGTTCTTCAGCCATTCCCGGGCAGTGACGCCTTGTTTTTTCGCGAAGAAGTGGAGACGGAGGGAGTGGGGCGCGCGGCGGGAAAGGCGGCGGAGGTGAGAGCAGGAGAGAGCGAAACTGCAGCGATCGCGCGGGTTGTCGATGCGCGCGAAAACGCGCTGGAGAAGGTCGTCGGGGAGCGACAGCAGGCGAGAGCTCTCGCGACTGCGCGCACTCTTCATCGTCGCAAGTTAATCTTCTCGTTTTCTGGGACTGGTAGAACGCGGAACGACACTGATCGGAGGACGCAACAACCAGAGAAGGACGCCACAAGTTTGCTGGCTGTGCTTGTGATGGGTGGGTCGGTGGGTGGCAATCGTGCTGCGGCGAAGAACGTCCGTGCGAAAATATCTTGACAAAATGGATGAGGAGAGCGAGGACAGCCCCCACTTTCGCCCCAAACCAGCTCCGAGTCGTCCCGCACCAATCGCACCAATCACGAGGCCTTCATCTAGCACGTTTTCGCCCTATAAATGCTCGTTCCTTCATTGTACAATTCCTCGTTCTGTAATCACATCCTTTGGTTAGTACAACTCACAACAAAATTCGCCTAGCAGTACCAGTAAATGTGAGATGCACAACGCAATGTAATAGACATACATTTCAGTCAAATATTATAATCATGAAAGAATCTACATTTTCATCACTGTTCTAGAAGTCATCTCTACCCGCCGAGCTGAGCAATCCCGAAAGCCATTCACAAAGCACCACTGCTACATTCATCATCCACTTGGCTTTCACTTGCCTGCGAGTTGCACACAGCAGCCATACAGAAATGGCTGGGCTGACAGAGGCCTGCTGCACACACCTTAGGCCGCAGTTACAGTACCTCCCTCGAGTCAAGCAGACACATTTTGGGTGTCTGCTCCATATGTGTGTGTTTGTGTTTTCATGTGTGGTTGCACATGTATTGTGTAAGTGCCTAACCTCCCCCCTCATTCCCTGTCTGTCCTCCCCTCCCCCTCCCCCTCCCCACTCATCCTCCTCCCTAAACCTCTACTTCCTCTTGGCCTTGTAAATCAGCGTGAGCACCAAAAAGTACCCAATTCTCACCGCCACGGCCATGGAGAACAGCACAGCCATGCTCTGGTACTTGGTCAGCTCCACGATATCCAGGTACTTGCGGCTGATGAACGTGCCCGTCATGATGCACGACTGCGCCGTCAGCGGGCCCACGCCCGGCGTCACCACGTTGGGCAGGAACGACATGAGCGCCGGCTTCAGCCGCGTCGTGTTCACGTACGTGCTGACGGGCTCAATGTCAAACGCCCCGTTCAGCGTCAGGTAGCATGGCCCCGTGTCCCTGTGGGGTGGAGGTGGGGGGAGGGGGGAAGAAGGGGAAGGTGGGAAAGGGGACGAGAGAGTTGGGAGGGGTTGGGATGGGAGGGCGCGCTGTTGGGCTGGATGGATGTCAAACGCCCGTTCAGCGTCAGGTAGCATGGCCCGGTGTCCCAGTGGGATGGACGTGGGCGAAGGGAGGAAGGGGAAGAGGGAGTGGAGGGAGTTGGGAGGGTACAGGGTTGGGTGAGGTTGTTGAATTGAGGAGAGAGGCATGGAGAGAGGAAGGGAGGAAAGGGAGACACAAGGAGTGGTGCCTAAAGGCAAGGGAGGATGTGCTGAGGCACAGGTAGGCAACGCACGTATCAACGCAGCAACGCATCAACGCACGCACCTGACGAACTCGTTCTGCACGAGCGCCTCGAAGGCGTACTTCATGGGCGAGATGTAGTGCAGCCAGATCCAGAACTTGGGGATGGACGTGCGGTGGATGTAGAACCCCGACACCAGCGTGAAATACGCCATCGTCGATATCACCGTCGCGTACGCCAGGATCATGCTGCGCACGTGGCGCGAACGGGGAGGGGAGGAGCGGAGAGTGAGGCGAGGAGCGGGAGAGTGAGAGAGCGAAGGAAGCGTGCGAGGTGTCGTGCACGACAGCCGGGACGCCGCACACGTAACGAGCGCGCGCGCGCATGGAAACCGCGCATATGCATGCACCCGCGCACTCACTTCTTAAAGAAGGAACTGGCGAAGGTGGCGATGGCGTTGCCGGTGAAGAGGCAGAGGAAGCAGATGGTGCCGAAGAAGAACGCGCCCGAGGCGCCGCCCGACAGCCCGACGGTCCACCACGACTCGAGCGTGAGCGTCGCCGCCATGAGCGCCTGCAGCGGAATGTACACCGCCATCGTCGCCACCACGTACGTCGACGCGCGGTACGTGTTGTGCGACGTCTCGCGGATGAATATGTTGCGCTCCTGCGCGCGCGGCGGGGGAGGGAAAGGGGGAGCGGGGAGGTTCGAGAGTGCAGGGATAGGCGGGGGAAGAGATCAGACGCGAGGAAGACGTTGAGGTGGAAGAGCACGGACTGACGCGAGTACAAGCCCGGAGCATGCATGTTGTCACTTAGTTCTCCCACTCACGCTCAAACGCGCGCGCGCTCACACACATTCTCACCTTTTCAAACACAGCGCTCTTCCACACTCCCGCTCCCCCCTTCCTCTCACACCCACCCACCCTACCCTCCCCCACATCTCTCCCGCCCCCCACACACAGAACACACACACACACACACACACACACACACACACACGCGCGCGCGCGCGCGCGCGCGGTCGAACACACCATGATGAAGATGGGCGTGGCGTCAGCGGAGCAGAAGAAGAGCATGGCCACGATGAACGACAGGTACGCCAGCCGCTCCAACATGCCCTTCGGACTGCACCACGCGCGCGCGCACCACGCGGGGGGAAAGGGCGACGGGGAGGGGAGGAGGAGGGGGAGAGAACCCGGGGATGGGTGATGAGATGAGAGGCACCAAAGGGGACGAGGGAAAGGGAAAGGGCGGAGACGAGAACGGAAAAAAAGGAGGGAAATGTAGCGAAGGGACGAGTCAGGCGCAGCAGGATGCTCGAAGCGAAGCCGTGAGGGGCAACTAGTGAAAAGAACAAAGACAAGGTTGGAACTGAGGAGGAGGATGATACGTGGGAGTGGCGGGGAGGAAGAAGGGTAAGAGGCGGGGGGAAAGGAGGGGAAAAGCAGGGGATGAGCGGGGGGAAGGGAGAAAAGGGGCGGGTGAAAGGAGGGAGCGAAGGCGGGGAGAAAGAAGGGGGTGGGGGGAGAAGGGGGAGAAGGGGCGCGTACTCATGACTCGGCTTGAAGAAGAGCGAGGCGAGGAGGAATCCGGCGACGGTGAGCAGCATGAGGCGCAGGAAGTAGAGCAGCGGGTTGCGGATGATCATCAGCCCCGACCGCACGAACAGGATGTAAAACTCGCGGAACCACGAGTTGGCGTACCGGTGCGTGCCCTTGTGCCCCGACTCCACCTCCTCCTCCTGCTCCTCCTCCTCCCCCTTCTTTCCCCCCTTCTTCCCCACCAGCCCGCAGAACTTCTTCTTCCCGTCCGCGCCCTTCCTCCCGTGCGCACCGCCACCGCCCCCGCCCCCTCCTCCCCCGCCGCCGCCGCCGTCCGCCTCCCCGCCGTCGCCGCCGGGCGCGGCGAGCAGCGCGGGCTTGGCGTGGCGGCCGGTCTTGGCGTGCGCCATGTGGTCGCGGCTGCGATGCCAGTCCGCAGCAAACGCCACCAGCTCCATGAGAGCCGCCTCCGACGTGCTCTTAAGCTGCTCCAGCAGCTCAAGAGCAAACTCCGTCGGGTTCGCGAATTTCGGCACGGGCGTGCCGAAGGCGTCGAAGAAGGCCGGGAGGTGCGGCGGCGGGCCGAAGAAGATCATGTTGCCGGTGGAGAGCAGCAGCAGCTGGTCGATCTGCTCCAGCACGCGGAACGACGGCTGGTGAATCACCATGATCACCACGCTCTCCGACGTGATCGCGATGTCCTTGAGGATCTTCACCACGCGGTACGCGTTGGAGGAATCGAGCCCCGAGGTGGGCTCGTCCAGGAATAGGATCTTCGGGTCGTGCACGATGTGCGCGCCGATCGCCACGCGCTTGCGCTCGCCGCCGGACACGCCTCTGCGGGAATGGGGGTGGGGGAAGGGGAAGGGGGAGTGGAGGGGGGAAGAAGATGGGAACGGGGGTAGGAGGGAGGGGATGGAGATGAGATAAAGAGGCAGGGAGAGTGTGCAGGATTTGCGGAGATGGGACGAGGCCAAGTGACAATGGCGACAGCGGCCGAGGAAGACCAAGGAGCGATCATTAAGCATGTGCGAATGCGATGCGCAGCAAATGAGATTTCTTTGCAGCGACAACAGGGGCCTTCCCACCCGCCCGCACTCTCGCTTCGACACGAGGCAACAGAGAACGCTTGGCGCCCCCAACGACAATGACGATAGCGCGTTTCAACGGATTCTTCCTGCCCTCTCCTATCTCTCATTCTCACGCGCATCCTCCGCCTTGATTCAGCCACGGGCCGAGTCCTGCGATTCGACGTAAACGACCACGCAGCCTAGCGGCCCAGCAGCTGCGCGGAACTCCCGATGCAATCAATCACCGTCAACCCCCAGAGCTCTTGCGTAGCAACCATGCCCAACTCTCGTGCCTTTCCGCGTCGGCCCTCCGCCCGTCCGTTCAAGTCGTACCTGAGGTTCTCGTTCCCGATGAGCGTGTTCGCCGCGTGCTGCAGGCTCAGCAGCTCCAGCAGCCGCTCCACGCGCTCCTGCTTCTCCTTGTACGAGAAGCTTCGCGGCAGGTTCATCTCCGCCGAGAACATGAGCGTCTCGCGCGCCGTCAGCGTCGCGTACATCAGGTCGTCCTGCATCACGTATGCCGAAATGCGTCGCATGAGATCGTCCGTCGTCGGCTTGTCGCCAAGCTCAATGTAACCCGTCCGGCCCCCCGCCAGCGGCCCCGCCGAAGCAGACGCGGACGCGATCCGGTGCGACAAAACGTCCAAAAGCGTCGTTTTTCCGCACCCGCTCGACCCCATGATCGCTAGAACCTCTCCCGACCGAGCAAATCCGGAGATTTCGTTCAGGATGACGCGGATCTTGGGCGGCGCGGAGGCCTTCGCCTCGTCGTCGCTGATGGAGGTGAATTGCGTGGACTTGCGCTTCGCGGCGAACCCGACGCACGGCTCGATGCATCGGCTGAACAGCGACTTCTTCCGGCCTAGATTTACGGAGTAGCAGATGGAGTGAAAGCAGAAGACGGACGGCGTGGCGGCGGGCTTCCCGCCAGGGAGAAGTGGGCACGGAGAGGTCATGGCCATGGCTGCTGCCGCTGCCTTCTGCGGGTCCTCCCCGTATGGGGACGTGGCGGCAACGTCGGCGTCTGTTGCCATGAGCACGGCGGACGCACTGGGAGGCGATGCTGTGGGGTCGTGATGTTCGTGAGGGGAGACTGACGCGGCGTTTGGCCTTCTATGGTTACTCGGAGGCATTGCTTTTTTTCCCTGCGGCCACTGCCGCTATGAATGCTTTCTTAGGACGACTGCTCGGTGGACTGGACAACTCCAAGCTCAGTCACGATTTAGAGTAGAAAATAGATCTAATTTGATAGATGTCGCCGTGCCTATGCCAGGAAGGGGAGATGATCATACGCAACGACACCAACTAGCCAATACTGCGACCAAAGCGAGTAGGCCTCGTGAACCCTGAAACTTCAATACTAGCTGCACCAAGGTCCCAAGCTTGCCTGTGTGTTACGAACAGGGGGGAAACAACAGACACAACAGAATTGAAAAGACGGGGAACGAATGGAGTTCGAGCCAAGCTGGGGCGAGGCGAGGGGAGCGGAGGCGAGGCAAGGCGAAGCGAGGAATTGCGGGAGGATGAGGTCAGAAATGTGCGAAATGCGGGTGAGTTGGGGTCAGGGTGCTCCCTCAGGCGCTCCTGCTGCCAATGAGGGTGATGTTGCGCTCCGAGAATTTGCCTGACCATCTGTACTGCCCTTACCGAACCACAGCTGTGTGGTGAGGTGTGTTGAGGTCTCAATCTGGGCCGTTGAGTATCGTAAGGTATGGCATTTTGGGAGCGCGCATGGTGAGGATTTGATGGCCGACAAAATCGGCGAGCCAGTGCCGCACCGAACATTGCCGGGCCAGGCGTCTCGCTGGGTCAGAAACCACGAGGCGCTCAAAACTGAGTGGGCAAGCTCCAGGCGGGAATTCAACACCAACGGCCACACGGTAACAAGCCGTCAGTCAGACCACTTTCCCCAACTTGGATTCTAGGCTCGATCTCAGTTTCGAGGTTCGGCCCACAAATTGCTGATTCCCGCCAAAAAAGGCACGCGCTGCGTGACAGACCAGAGGTTTGAGTTCGAAGGTAACAGTGACGAAACCCTGCCGTCTTCGCAACTGAATTTGACTCCTTTTCTGACAACTTCGCTTTCGCTGCATGTGTGTGTGTGCAGTTTACAACAAGTGGTAGTGAAACTTCCCAAAAAAAAAAAAAGCATGTTTTCTTTCGTAGTATGTTGAGCTAAAATTTTTAGTTTTGTACGTCAATGTTCTTGGAATTACGGTCCATGCTTGTGACTCCGGACGGTTCAATACTGTGAAAGCAGTCATTTTACTATGTTGACTTGTGTTATGAGTTGTAAAAGAGAGTGCGCAGGTAAACGAATAACGAGGCTGTGACTGAATGAATCTGAGAATACAATGAATGCGAGAACTAATGTAGGCTAGCCTAGCTAGGAGGAAACCTCGGGTGAGCGAGGTTGGGTGCAGGTTTGGCGATGGAAATGCCGAAGGCGACGCGAGGAGCTTCGGCAGCGTGGAAATCGCCCGAACGTGCGAACTCCGAAAATCGGGTTGTACGCGCAGCAGTCAACCCCGATAAGGAATTCGAGAAAATTCCTTACACCACCCCCCCCCTTAAGAAAGGCGGTCAATATCCGAAACACGCTTGCGTGCCAAATAATCACCAACAAGTGGCGAGGCGTCGAGCGAGGCGGATGGCACCCACGTGTCGTCCTCACTGGTGCGATCAGTCCAGCGGATTAAGAAATCCACGTGTCGGCCAGCTGCGTCAAGTCGAACCCGATGAGCGAGAATCTTCGATGGATCGAGTGTCGGCTCCGGGACAGGTCGAGCTGTCGGGACGGCGACTTTGCCGACGTGCGATGTCGGTCGTGGCTGGCACGAACTTGCGAAGCAGGCTGACGTGGAAGGCGTCATGAATTCGCCAGTCGTCCGGTAGTAACAGCTTCGCGGTGACAGGTGTCACCATCTTGATAATCTTGAACGGTCCGCAAAATCGGGGCCGTAGCTTCGATGGGCCGGGCAGATGCAGGTTCTTCGTGTCGAGGAGCACTAATTGCCCAGTGGTCAAGACGAGTTCCCGGCGTAGGAGGTCGGTGTACTTGCGGGAAATAAGATTCGCTTTGCGAATTGCGTCTGCTGCTTTCTCGCGGATGTGCTGAAGTTCCGTCACAAAAGTTTGTGATCGCGGGACCGGGTTGTCGAGCGAAGTTGCCGTGGGCACCGTCGGATCCATCCCGTAATTCAAGAAGAACGGGGAGTGATTAGTCGTGCTCGATGGTGCGTTGTTGAAGGCAAACTCCAACATGGCGAGGGAATCTTCCCATCGTGCGGGGTCGGGGCAGTTTGTCCGTATCAGCTGCTCCATCGTCTGGTTGGTTCGCTCGGTTTGTCCGTCCGTCTGTGGGTGGTAGGCCGATGAGAACTGTAGCTTCGTGCCGTACTGCGCCCATGTTTCCTTCCAAAACTTGGATGTAAACTTCGGGTCCCGGTCGGTGATGATCGCCGAAGGGATGCCGTGTAGTCGCACGACCGTTGAGATGAAGAGGCGCGCAGTTTCTTCGGCTGTGATCGTCGTTCGGCATGGTGCGAAGTGCGCCATTTTCGTGAAGCGATCGACAACGACGAGGACAGCGTCGTTGCCGGACGGCCCAGCTGGCATCCCCGTGACGAAATCCATCGTCACCTGTTGCCACGGTCGTTCGGGTGGCTCGAGGGGTTGCAGCAGCCCAGCTGGTCGCTGACGTGTCGATTTCATGGCTTGGCACACCCTGCATGAGGACACATAACGCTGCACGTCGTTAGAGGAATCGGGCCAGTAATATTGACGGTGCAGTAATTTCTGGGTTTTATCAACCCCGAAGTGTCCGGAGTAGTTCGAATCGTGGACCTCCTGGATGAGGAGTTCACGCAGCAGCCGGTAAGCGGGGACCCAAATCCTGTCGGTGCCGGCTTTAAGGTGATAATCCCCCTTCTGCGTCGTGGCCTGCTGATGATTTCCTGTCGTGAAGAACGGGTCCGTAGTGTAGCCGTGGGTGAATAGTCCTGTAAGTAGCGGGTTCGAATGGGTGATCAGTACAGCAGCGGATTGTACGGTCGGTCTGGTCAGGGCGTCGGCGATGTTATTCGCCCCTTTCTTGTACGTGATGTCAGAAATAACTGAGCAGGAATGAAATGAACTAGCACAGAGTTTGGTACAAGTAGGAAACCCTAACTTTGTGTACCCCCTAAGGTGTAACCCACTACAGCCTACACAATATAAACATGCAATGTTTGACACACCCCCATAGGCGCAGTGGGAGACAACCACAGGGTCACAAGACCAGTCAAAGCAAAGCAAAGCAAGCTCAGGGTGGATCTCAAGGATTCCACACAAATTCCGAGCACAAGCAAGTGGTCACAAGACCAGTTCACATGCAGGTTTATAACAAAGCAAGAGATACAGTGATCACAACCTAGCAAAAGTAAACAAGTAGGCATATATACATAGTGATCACAGTACAAGCAAGGTCAAGAGGTAAGCAAGTGAGGCCCAGTAGGTACAAGGCCTAGCAGAGTGCAAAAGCGCTGATGGTCACAAGGCTGAAGCGCCTTGGTGAACACATCAGCAGTGTTGGCCTCCGTGGCCACGTAACGCAGACAAAGCTGACCACGCTGCTGCAGCTCTCGAGCAAGGAAGTACCGCAGAGCGATGTGCTTCGTTCTGTGCTCCAGTCTGTGCTCCTCACACAAGGCAATGGCAGCCTTGTTGTCGACGTACAGCACTGGAGGAGAACGAGGCCGCTCTCCGAGGTCGGTCAGCAGGTAGGTCAGCCAGCGTAGCTCCTGAGCAGCCATGGCTGTGGCGTAGATCTCAGCCTCACAACTGGAGCTGAGAACAGAAGAAGAGCGAGTAGAACGCCAAGAAACTGAGCCAGAGCCAAGGCTGAAGGTGTAACCCTGGGACGACCGCTGAGTAGCCTGATCGTCTGCCCAAGAAGCGTCTGAGTGCCCTGTGAGAACAACCCGGTCTCGCCCTCCAAGCACAAGCCCCATGCCCGACGTACTGCACAAGTAGCGCAACACCCTCTTAGCAGCATCCATGTGCTCCTTCCGGTGACGGCCAGGAGCGACATAGCGTGCTAGGATGCTAAGAGGGTATGCAAGGTCAGGTCGAGTGCAGGTCATCAGGTACATGAGGCAGCCCACAAGCTCTGGATACGGGCCACTCGGCTCTACGGACTCATCCGAAGGCAGAGCTGAGAGCGAGTGACCGGTAGGCAGAGGAGTGGACTGAGGCGAGGAGTACGTGAAGCGGAAGCGCTGGAGAACCTGCTGCACCATGTGTGACTGAGTCAGGGTGATGGTGCGCCGTGCTCTGTCCCGGGTGATCCGCAAGCCAAGATAGCTCGTCAGCTCACCCAGGTCTGTGCACGTGTGTCTCCTCTGCAGCTCCGACTTCACGTGGGCGAGTGCCGCGGTGTCAGCAGTGGCAAAGACCAAGTCGTCGACGTACACGAGGATGTAGAACGGCGGCAGCGAGGTGTCGGTGCGTAGAAACAGCGACGGGTCAGCAGTAGAGGGAGCGAACCCAAGAGCCGCAAGTGTCGTCCTCAGTGTGTCGTGCCACTCACGTGGCGCCTGGCGGAGACCGTAGACCGGCCGCTGAAGCCTCCACTGGGTGCCAGGAGGAACTGACCCAGTGAAGCCAGGGGGGCGGCGCAGCCAGATCTCCTTGTGCAGGCTGCCCTGCAAGAAAGCAGTGCTGAAGTCAAGAGAGTGAAGCTCGTAGTCGCGGTGAGCGGCTATGTGCAGCAGCACCCGAAGAGTAGTCATCTTCGGGGTGGGGGAGAAGGTCTGAAAGAAGTCTACTCCCTCTCGCTGACTGAAGCCTCGAGCCACGTAGCGCGCCTTGAAGACAGGCGGAGAACCCGGCGGCCGCTTCACCCTGAAAATCCACATGCCACTGACGATGTTCGCCCCAGGAGGGGGAACCTCGTCTACGTAGGTGCCTGTGGACTTCCAGGAGGCCATCTCTGCGTCCATGGCTGTCTGCCACTGAGAGGAGTAGGGACCCGCCATCGCCTCAGCGTAAGAGCGTGGGGTCGGGATGTCTGGTGCATCCGGGTCTCCCTCAGGGGCAACTAGCAAGGACACGAGACGGGGCAAAGCAGCAGCAAGGCAGTGGAACTCCTCCT